CTATAACAGTGCTTAACATGTATACCAATCACCTGTGAATCTTATTAGAGTAGGTCTGGGGTAAGGCCTGAGATACTGTGTTTCTGTCCTCCCCCCCCCCTTTTTTTTTTTGAGGGAGAGAAAGAGAGAAAGCACATGGGCAACCAAGCAAGCAAGTGGGGGGAGGAGCAGAGGGAGGGAGAGAGAGAATCTCAAGCAGGCGCTATGCTCAGTGTGGAACCCAACAAGGGGCTGGATCTCAACCCTTGATCATGACCTGAGTTGAAATCAAGAGTCGACACTTAACAGATTAAGCCACTCAGGCATCCCAAGAGATGCCACATTTCTGACGAACTCAGCTGGTGCCAAGAACCTGCTGTCCCCTATCTAGGTGACTGTCCAGCGCTGAAATATGCTTAGTACAACAGAGAAAATGAATTTTAAGTTTTCTTTTATTTTGACTGATTTAAAGACTGAAGCAGTGCAAAATATTTCTCCACTAAGCAAAATTTTATTGTTTTGGTAAGACTGCATTTCACTGTTACTATTAAAATTGAGCATGTGAATTAAGATGTATAAAATATACACAAGACTTAGCAAACATAGTATAAAAATAATGTAAACTATTCCCTTAGTTATTTTCTATGTTGGTTACATGTTAAGCCATTTCAGATATATTGAATTACATTAAATACATTCTTTACAATTACTTTGCCTTTTTTACCTTTTTGAAATGTGGCTACTAGGAAATTTAAATTACGAATGTGCCTTACATTTTATTTCTGCTGGATAGTAGTGCCTTGGACTCTTGCTGTGAGAAGTAAAGCAACACTTAGGATCTCACTTGACCCCTTTCTTATGGGCAGAAGTTACATTGGCCCATCACACACATGGTCTGGTATTTGTTTTCACAATTTCACCACGGTTAACTCAAAACAACAAATCATTGTTTATTTCAAATCTTTGCAACATAGTTTTATAACATTTCACCCTCATGAAATACCTGAGTGAACATGCAAGTGATGTAAATATCTTAAATAGAATATTATTGAATAGAATCATTAAGTAAAAATATATAAGAAGCAGATCTAAGACTAGGGAATATATCCTGTAACTTTTTTGCATGGTTGTTTCTGCAAATACTACTTCCTCTAGAGAAAACTCTTTTCATGTTACCAAATTGATCCCTCAGGAACTGACTTAACACTGTGGAAACTTAGATGTGTTACATCAGCCGTGATTTATCAGCTTCAAATACAGGATTCAATTTGCAGAGAGAATATTACCCCAGGAGCCCCAATAACATAGGGCTGGCTATACTGGTTAAGCTGTGTCTACTTCTAAAGTTTGTCCACATCTTCAAATAATTAGCTATTTTATAAATCTCCGAGATTTATCTGGGATCGTTGCAGTTCTTTTGATTAAAGCACAATTCAGTTTAAAAATCACTTGGAACGCCTAGGTGGCTCAGTCAGTTAAGCATCTGACTCTTGGTTTCAGCTCAGGTCGTGGTCTCAGGGTCATGAGATTGAAACCTGCATCCAGCTCTGTGCTAGATGTGGAGCCTGCTTGGAATTCTCTCTCTGCCTCTCAAAAAAAAAAAAAAAAAGTTGTCCCCATGTCCTGTCTCTAAGCCCTGTCTTCCTGCTTTCTCCTGAACCCTCTCCAGCTAGGCTTTCACTTCACCGCTCCACGGACCCACTGTCATCAAGGCCACCGGGGACTGCACGTTGCCATCTCACGTCCACACCCTGCCCTCATCCTCCTTGTCCTCTTCAACAGCACTTGAGAGTTGATGTCTTTCATCTCCTGGATCCATTTTTCTCACTTGGTTTCCAGGACTTGACACATGGGCCTGAGTTTCCTCCTGCCTCACCGGCTAATCCGTCTTAGCTTTGTTACTGACTTCCTCTCACTTGTTCAACTTAGAACATGGGGTGCCCCAGGATTTAGCCCTTGGGCCTAGTCTCTCCTCTACTCATCCTCATTCTGCTAGTGATCTCCTGCATCTAAACACAGACAGGTCTCTCCGAATGTCTATGGCCAGGCCAGGCCCATCCTCCTGCCGGACTCACACATGGGGCTGCCTGCCTACTGAGATGTGTGTTAATCATCTCAAATCTAATATGTCTCAAACTCTACTCCTAACATTCACACCAAAACTTGTTTCCTTCATCTTTCTCCACCTTAGTAAATGGTTATTCCTTTCTTCTAGTTGCTCAGAGTATCATTGTCTCTTTTGCCCACATTCATTCTCAGCAAATCCTATCCTCTTCAAACTTTATCCAGAATTAAACCGTGCCTCACCACTTATGCCACCAACAATCTTTTCTAAGCCACAGACATCTGCTTCCTGATCCCCGACTTAGTTTCCCCAACTCTGTTTTTCACACAGCAGATAGAAAGATCCTGTTCTGATAAGTCGGATTATGTGACCGCGCTTATGGACTTCACTGGCTCCCCACTTTGCTTAAAGTAAAAGCTCAAGTCCTTACAAAGGGGGCTTTGTAATTTCATCACCTACTACTCTTCCTGTCACTCATTTTGCTTCAGCTACACTGGTCTCCATGCTGTTTCTGGAGATAATGGGCATGCTCCTGTCTCCGGGCTTTTGCACGTTCTCTTTTCTCTACATCGAAGTTACCTGCAGCATTCCTTCTTTCGCTTTGGTCTTGTCTGTGCTCACATGTTAACTCCTTAGAAAAGCCTTCTTCTGATCGCCCTGTTTACAGTTAAAACCTCCCTGCACCATCAACACTCTGTATCCTTTTTCCCTGTTGTATTTTCTTGTACTTACCATCTTCTATTAAAACGTATAATTCAGGGATCCCTGGGTGGCGCAGTGGTTTGGCGCCAGTCTTTGGCCCAGGGTGCGATCCTGGAGACCCGGGATCGAATCCCACGTCGGGCTCCCGGTGCATGGAGCCTGCTTCTCCCTCTGCCTGTGTCTCTGCCTCTCTCTCACTCTCTGTGACTGTCATAAATAAATAAAAAAAAAATTAAAACGTATAATTCAGTTATTTATTTTTTTCCATCCAGTAGGAGGTACATTCCAAGGGGGCCAGGAGTTCCTTCTGTTTTGTGCATTGTCATATCCCCAGAACATGTAGCAGTATTAAGTTTAATAAATAATTGTTGAATGAGGGAATGAATTGAGTGGCCAGGCAACTGTTCTGGCTCCACCCATATCCCTTTTTTTCAAATATACCGTCTTTAGGGGTTCTTTTAGAAGAAGGCTCTGAGAAACACAGGTGTACTAGGGTCATGTTCCACCTCTTTATCATAGCTTATCAAGAAGATCAGCAGAGAGTGAAATAATCGGAGAAGGACAAACATTATATGGTCTCATTCATTTGGGGAATATAAAAAAAAGTGACAGGGAATAAAGGGGAAAGGGGAAAAAATGAGTGGGAAATATCAGAAAGGCAGAACATGAGAGACTCCTAACTCTGGGAAACGAACTAGGGGTGGCGGAAGGGGAGGTGGGCGGGGGGTGGAGGTGACTGGGTGACGGGCACTGAGGGGGGCACTTGATAGGATGAGCACTGGGTGTTATTCCATATGTTGGCAAATTTAACACCAGTTAAAAAATAAATTTATATATATAAAAAAAAGATCAGCAGAACCAGGTTCCTCTCTTAACCTCTGAATTTCCCCGTGTTGTCCCTGAAATACTGCATAGCCTCTAGGTGTGTAGTGACCATGTTTTTGTTTTTGTTTTTTTTGTTTTGTTTTGTTTTGTTTTTTTTAGTGACCATGTTTTTGAATGCCTCCTTGCCTTCCCAGCAGTGCTCCAAATAGAACCCCTGCCCTTGCTTCCCTGGACTGCCCGACCCCCACTCCCTGCAGGGTCCCCTCAGGCAGCCTGGCCCTCCTGATCCTCGCCCAGGGGATCCCCTCTTGGGGGGACCCAATGCCTCTGTGCATTGAAACGGTCTCTAGAAGCCAGGGCTTGAAATGTTGCTTTACCTGTATTTCCTTCATGGGGAAATCTTTCCTTTCGTTCTCCGAGAAGGACCATCTTCATTGCTAAATGAATAAAAAGTAGCCCACTGATAAATAATATTTATCAGACATTTGTCAAAGCATTTTTTCTTTTTTTTTAATTTTTTTAAATTTATTTATGATAGTCACAGAGAGAGAGAGAGAGAGAGAGAGAGAGAGAGAGGCAGAGACACAGGCAGAGGGAGAAGCAGGCTCCATGCACCGGGAGCCTGACGTGGGATTTGATCCCGGGTCTCCAGGATCGCGCCCTGGGCCAAAGGCAGGCGCCAAACCACTGCGCCACCCAGGGATCCCCAAAGCATTTTTTTCATGTGCTCTGCCACGTGGCTTACATGCATTATCATATCACTTCTTCCCAATCCGGGCAAGGATTTCTGTATATCCGTTTATACGTGAAGGAACAGAGGCTAATGAATTTTAATAAAGCTTGTCCAAAGTCACACAAACACGAAGTGGTGAAACCGAGTTTCAGTTATACATGATTTAACACCAGATCCGCTGTAACTTTTAAAAAGGATATCCTGTAATTTATTTAGCCTATTTCCACCATCCAGCATTTAGGTTGTTTCTGATTTTCTTACAATGATAAGTAATGCTGCCTGTGTTAGACATCCTGAGAGCCAAATCTGTGTATATATTTCTGGTTATTTTCTTCAGATCAATTCTTAAAAGTGAATTTTGGGGTTCAATTGATTTTTTCCCCTCTAATTAGAAATCTAATATGTGCACAAAATGGAAATTTGGAAAATAGAAAAAGCACAAAGTAATAAAGCAAAAACTGTTTAGAATAATGCCGCCTTCCAGAGAGTACAATTTTAACAGCTCACTCTTTCTCTAGACTCTTGTGTGTCATACATTCATATTTATCTATAAGCCATGTACGTGTATATGCACATATATAGTTTTATGTGTAGCTACATTGAAGCATAGATTTTACTTTTTTTGTTGTATATTATAGAAAATTGTGTGATAACCTTGCTACATAATAAATATATACACGTATGTTTTCTTTGCAGGTAATCAATTAATTAATTGTAGAAACCATATTTTGGAGTTTAAGGAAAAAATGCTACGTTTAAAAAACAAGACTGAAAGAAATCGCCAAGAGCTGATCAAAGCCTTGAGTAAAATAAAGTACGAAATGACACAGAGAAAAAATATGTCAGTAAACTTAGGTTTGTGTTGCTTTTGTTTTTATGTGTGTTGGTTTGTTTGTTGGTTTTGTGCTTTGTGTTTGGGGATTTAGATTTTGCACTTTCTGATTTTAGGACACTTCCTCCCAACAAATATAACTAAATTAGTACTTGTTCTTTTATTGTGAGAGATACAAACATCAGGTAGGAGATAACACTAATAAACTTCCTCTCCTCTGTAGCTCGGAAATGGTCTTCCTATGTTTCCTGTATGAATTGCACCACCATCGTGACCCATCCCATAGATGCAGCCAGAACCCGTGCGTCACCCTGACTCCCCCCTCCCTCCTCTTGCATAGTCCCATTTCAGCCAATAAGCAATCCTGTTGATTCTCGATCTGTGTATCTCACAAATCTGTCCACGTTTTCCCATCACTGTCTCTGCTACTCTAGTCAGGCGGCCTTCATTCTTCATCTGAATCACTGCTAACATACTTCTCTGTTTTCTCTCTCTCTCTCCAGACTTGTCCTCCCCTATCTGGTTCCACTGTAGCCAAAGCGAAGCCTCACTGTCCTGTGCATCATCCTGCAGTGGCTCCCGTTACTCTAGCATAACAAGTCCTATCTCTGTCGCCCCTTTTGTAGTCACGTAGTCCTCACTCTTAATCCCTTGCAACCACCAATCGGTTCTCTGTTCTTACAGTTTTCCCTTTCCCAGATGCCATACAGATGGAATCATATGGTGTGTAAAGCTTGGAGACTGATTCTTTCACTTAGCAAAGATTCATCGAAGTTGTTATGTGACCAATTTTTTGTTGTCTTTCTATTACTGAGTAACATTTCATTGTATGGGTGTGGATAGTTTATTCTTTTACCAATTGAAGGACATTTTTTTTGGCAATTACAAGTACAGGTTCATGTACAGGTTTTTTGTATGAAGAGAATTTTCATATATATATATATGTATATATATCTTGAATACATATTGGATGGATATGTGATTTGGAAATGTTTTCTCCCAGTCTGTGGCTAGTCTTTTCATTCTCCTTATGGTGTCCCTCAGAAAGCAAACACTTTTAATTGTGAAGTCTAGTTTATCAATTTTTCTTCTATACATTGTGTTTTTGGTGTTATCTTTAAGAACACTTTAGATTCCACAGGTTCATGAAGTTTTTATGTGTTTGTTTTTAATTTTATAGTTTTAGGTTTTACATTTGAGTCTATGAAACATTTGAGTTGATTTTTTTTTTTAAAGATCTTCTTTATTTATTCATGAGGGACGCACACACACACACACACACACACACACAGAGACACAGGCAGAGGGAGAAGCAGGCTCCGTGCAGGGAGCCCAATGCGGGACTCGATCCCGGGTCTCCAGGATCACACCCTGGGCCAAAAGCAGGCGCTAAACCATTGAGCCACCCAGGCTGCACTTTTTTTTTTTTTTTTTTTTATGAGTTGATTTTTATAAACGGTGTGAAGTACAGGTCAAGATTCAATCTTTCTCAAGTGAGTGGCCAAGTATTCTAGTACCATTTCTCAAAAAAGCTGTCCTTTCTGCATTGCTGCATTGAATTGCCTTTGCACCTTTTCCAAAAATCAATTAGTAGCTGTGTGGCTATATTTATGGATTCTCTGTTCTGTTCCATTGGTCTGTGTATCTTTTTAAAATGTAATACCACACTGACCACTGTCTCGATTGTTGTGTTATGTATTATGAATTAAATAAATGGGGTGTGAGTCTTCTAATTTTGTTCTTTTTCAAAATTGTAGAGGTATATTCAAATGAATGGTACACGTGGAGTCATTAAAAGTTGAGCTACGTAACAAAGTTGTAGAGATACAAACTTTAGTGTGCTATTAATCAAAAGAGCAGAGCAGATCAGTTATAGTGTGTTTCAGTATACTTCATTTGGAACTGACACTTCTATTAGTCTCTGGTTAGGTAGCTCCTAGTGCTAGACTTAACTATGATGTTTTAAATAAGTATGAATAAGATCTGAGCTATATTTTGTAGCAGTATGATTTTAATAATTCATATTTAGTTGTATTTCTCTTATATATTGAATACTAAACCTGTTAATCTCATTGTGAAACATTGTGCCAAAGAGAGAAAAATCCCTATGGCCATGAACTTAGAAACCCTATTTTTTTTCTCTCTTTTAGTTGAGAAGAAAGTGAATACATTGGGTAAGAATGAAACCGTGTCTGATACGTTTGAAATCCTAAAGTTCTTTTTTCCTCATCTAAGGAAAGTAGGCAGGATTTATCCTGATGTAATCTTTGGCAAAAAGAGAACAGGCGGTAAGCAAACTTAGAATTAGAAAATCAAATATAGATATTTTGATCTTTGAGGACATGCTTTTAAGTTGTGTCATTTGTTTTTTAATAAATTTATTTTTTATTGGTGTTCAGTTTGCCAACATGTAGAATAACACCCAGTGCTCATCCCATCAAGTGCCCCCCTCAGTGCCCGTTACCCAGTCACCCCCACCCCCCGCCCTCCTCCCCTTCCACCACCCCTAGTTCGTTTCCCAGAGTCAGGGGTCTCTCACGTTGTCTCCCTTTCTGATATTTCCCACTCATTTTTCCTCCTTTCCCCATTATTCCCTGTCACTATTTTTTATATTCCCCAAATGAATGAGACCATATAATGTTTGTCCTTCTCTGATTGACTTATTTCACTCAGCATCATACCCTCCAGTTCCATCCACGTCAAAGCAAATGGTGGGTGTTTGTCATTTCTAATGGCTGAGGAATATTCCAGTGTATACATAAACCACATTTGTTTGTTTAAGTAGGTTCCATGCCCAGCATGGAGCTCTGACTCACAATCCTGAGATCAAAAGTTGAATGCTCCACCAACTGAGCCCGCCAGGCACCCCTTAAGTTTTTTTGAATGTTTCTCTAATTATTATTATGCATGATTTTAGGCTTTAAAATGTAACCCATTAATATAATACTCTGATATATAGACCTCCAGCCTATGTGGCATTAATTTTTGGACTGTCAGAAATCAGTACTGACCTGACAGGAAAAAAATAGTTCGATAAATATTTAGAGACTTAAATTTGAATTCAATTTTAATACAGATATTTTGAAAAGCAGTCATTTTAAGTCACATATGCATTTGGCTTATATTAAGCATCTGCTGAGTACCTGGCAACTCTTGTCTCCCTTGGTTTTGATAAACTCATTCTTACCCGGTTGTCTTCTTATTTCCTCATCTTTCTGGGGACCAAGGTCAGCAAAAGCTTTACAGAAGAGGTGATTTTGAGCTAATCCTTAAATAATGAATTTAACTCCAGCAGGTATGAAAGAAGAGACAAAGCATTTAAGTTAGAAACAGGGATATTAGGGAAGTCTCAGAATGCTTGCCATTCTCACAAGCCTTATTTATTCTAATGCGTGAGTCACTCTAGGCCAGTGGCAGCAAACTACAGCCCCTAAGCCAAATCTGCTCTTTTACAATAAGATTTTGTTGGACTCTAGTCAGTGCTCATTGGTTACTTCTCTGTGACTGTTCCCACACCACAGTGGCAGAGCTGAGTAGTTGCAGCAGACACTGTATGGCCCAAAAGACAAAAATGTTTACTATCTGGTCCTTTACAGAAAAGTCTTACTGACCTCTGACTGATGTAGGTAGTTCCTTGAGAATAAGGAGTGTTGTTCTATAGCACGTGCCTCTGCCAAGCTCACTGTGTTGGGACAGGGTTGCCATGTGGCATTGTTTAACATCTGAATTCTCACTGTGTTCTGTATACTGAGTTTACTGTGTTTTCTTTTTTTAATGTTTTCTTTCATTGTTTCATTTGACCCTCACAACACAATACAGCAGGACCTTCAATTATCTCTGTTTTATGCCTAAGAAAAACCAGGGTACATCTTGAGATCACACTAGGGACTTTAACTGTGTCAGATTCCCTCTTCAGAGTATTTTGAATGTGGCACGTGTATGTACGTAGACATGCACATGTGTGTGAATGTATAAGAAAGTGTGTGCTACACAAAGGTTATAGGGAACAGGAGGAGGCGATGAAAGACATAGGGAAAAAAAAAAAACCCAGTACATAGAAACTATAAAATACTAGATGCTAAGAATAAGCATAGCCTTAAGTAAACATCAGCAAAGATAAGCAGAAGCCCATGTCAGAAAGGATGGAAGGAGAGGTGTTTATAATTGGGAAGAACAGAACTCTTTGTATGGGGGTTTGGGGGTGTTGAGGTAACCCAGTTAGCAGAACTGTGTTAAATCCTGAATAATTTTCTAATTCCCCAACTATTTCTTGATTTCCAACCAGTGTGTATATATTGATCCTCCTTTTGAGGCCCCTTTGGTGGATTTTCATAGGTTCTTGGGAGGACCAGCTTGCACATAAACCTTCATTACCAAAGGCCATTTAAATGGAGATTCTTTTTCCTAGTAACTAAAAGACCATAAGACATAAAACACTTGTAAAAGCACTGAAGCCTGTAGCAAGGCCTACTGGGGAAGCTGTCATCAGTCTTCTTTATTCTAGATTCTGAGTATATCTCAAATAATTTCTTTTTTCTCTACCCTCTGTAACTATTCTTTTTGAGCTTTCATTTCTTCCCCAGTGTATTGAAATAGACTTGTAAATTGACTACGGTCAATCCATTCTTCATACCCTCCTCAGAGCTTGTACTAAAATGTGTAACGTCATGCTCAACTCTTGCTTAAAATCCTTAGAAGATCCTCAGTGCATATAGGATGAAGTTAGCTCCTCAACATGGAGTGTGTACAGTAGACTGTATCTTTCAAATCTCAATTTTTGCCATTTCCCCTCCTTTTCAGCAACCCTAGAACCCTTACAATCCACATGCCTTCAATGAACACACCACCTCCTATCAACCATGATTAACTTGTCATGTAAGTCCCTTACTCAATAGGACTTTTCACCTCAGTTGGCAACTTCTTTGTGCAGTCTTCCATGTCCTCAAGTAACCAGCCTCTCTCAGGTCCTAGGCCTTGGGGAAGAGCAACGGATAAGACGTGGCCTTCATCCTCCTACAGACACGTGAGAAAGCAGTTACAGTGTAAAGTGACCAGTGCTGTGACAAGGGAAATACGAGGTGGAACAAGTAATCCATACTTGCGGAATTAGGGAAGACTTTCTGGACGAAGCACTGTTCACCTGAGTCAACCTTCATGACTCAGGTGAACAGAATTGGAATAGACTAAGTAGGGAAAAAGCGGCTGATGGATAGTGGAAAAAAGTAGAGGATGTTCATCCAGGTAGAGGAAAAGAAATGGAAAGGCCTAACAGCAAGAGGACCCAGGCAAAAAGTGTGGCATGTGTGCACAATTGGGGCTAGAAGTTATTAGCAGTATAACATGGGGCAGAGGCCAAATAATACAGGGACTTGGCCATTCGCTTATTCACCCCAAATTTATTCCAATTATTATGTTTTCTAATAACATTTTTTTATTAGATGATAAGTGCTATGTGGATGAACTAAGAGTATACAGCTGGTCCACCCAACCTAGTTTAGAAAGAATGAATAATAGAATTAGCACAAGGAACCTGAAAAAGAGTGTTCTAGGTAGAGAAGGGATGATGTGTGCAAAGGCCTAGAGATGATAGAGTCCTGTTTGGTCAATCTGAGAAGCTGAAAGATACTAAGACTGACTTAGAGAGAGGATAATTGAAACAGAAAATGTAGGTCAGGACTAGGTCATTAAAAGCCTTGTAAATGTTTATAAACAGTATTTCTTACCCTAAGGCATTGGAAGTCACTTCAGGACTTGCATTTTATTTATTTTTTTTTAAAAAAATATTTTATTTATTTATTTGAGAGAGAGAGAGGCAGAGACACAGGCAGAGGGAGAAGCAGGCTCCATGCAGGGAGCCTGATATGAGACTCGATCCCAGGTCTCCAGGATCACACCCTGGGCTGAAGGCGGCGCTAAACTGCTGAGCCACCTGGGCTGCCCTAGGAATTGCATTTTAGAGTGGATCCCAAAGTTTGAAACTTGATTCCTTCCTCACGCTATCCATAAAAATCAGTTCCAGGTGGACTGTAGATCTAAATATAAAAGGCAAACAATAAAGCATCCAGCCGATATTCAAGAGAATGTCTTTATGACCTGAAGATACAGATTTCTCAACAGGAATCGAAAAAGCACTAATTTTATGTAAAGGAGGAGATGGATAAATTGTACTCTATTAAAATTAAGAATTTCTTGGGGTGCCTCGGTGGCTCAGTCAGTTAAGCATCTGCCTTCAGTTCAGGTTAGGAGTTCAGGGTCCTGGGATTGAGTCCTGCATCGGGCTCCTTGCTCAGTGGGGAGCTTGCTTCTCCCTCTCCTGCTTCCCCTTCCCCCTGCTTGTGCTGTGTCTCTATCAAATAAATAAAATCTTTTAAACAAATTAAGAATTTTTTTTAAAAAAAGATTTTGAGAGCAAGCAAGAGAGAGATAGAGCACAAGCAGGGGTGAGGGGTAGAGGGAGAAGCAGACTCCCCCACTAAGCAGAGAGCCACATGTGGGGCTCCATCCCAACCCAGAGATCATGATCTGAGCTGGAGGTAGGTGCTTAACCGACTGAGCCACCCAGGTACCCTAACAAAGAATTTCTGTTCATCAAGAGGTAAACATTGAAAAGGGAACCCAGAGTGGGAGATATTTGTAAGACCCGTAACTAACAAAGCGTTCGTATTCAGAATCTATAAAGAGCATTAACAAATAAGAAAAATCCAGACAACTCAATAGAGAAGCAGGTAAGAGCTTAAGGATTTCACAAAAGAATGTCCAAAGACCAATAAACATATGAAAATATGTTCGAACTCAATAGTAATCAGGGAAATAACTAATTCTTACTGTTCTCACTGAAGTTCAGTAGTTTTTTGTTACATTTAAATGCTTCTCAGTGTCTTGTATAGCAGAGGCTGGATTGTTTTGCTACTTTTAATATTGCTTTTTTAGGGAGAGGAATTTCTGAGTTCCCTACTTAGCCATTCTGGAAGTTCTTATCCCCATCTTGAAGGTGGGGAAATTGAGGCTGGAGAGGCTGTGTATCTTGCCCAAGTTCATACATCCAGGATTGGTGTTGAGTTTGGGCAAACTTTACTGATATAATCTTAGTATCTATATAGGATGACATGAGATCTGTTCTCCCATTGTTCCAATCAATATTGAGCAATGAAAATAACTTAGGATCATGGATTCATTCCATCAAATCACTTGGAAATTACTTCATGCATTTTTTTTTCACAGATGAAAATATTTCATAGTATTTTCTGTTTTGAGTTCCAGCATCTCCTTAGGAACAGAAGTAGAGAATCTGCCAATGTGTGACATTTTGTACCCAAGTTAAGTAAAAGCTAAAATAAATGGAGAGTGGTTAGTTTTATTTTTCACTACACTGAAACCCTCCAACATGAGAACATCTTGGAGTCTACTGAATGCATTTACTAACAGTCCTCTACAAATTGGAATTTGCTCAAGCAGAAAATGAACTTAGTGATAAAAATTAATAGTAGTTTGGGTACTTTTTGTAATATAGTTTCAGACACTCTTTATGACCAAAGAATTAACTCAAACATAGTAATAAGCATAGATATTAATGATGAATTATATTTTTTCTCTGTGGCTTGAAATGATGATTCCATGCTCCTATGTCTGCAGTCTCTTTTGCACTGGGTATTTCCACTGTTAACAGAGGGAATCAAAGTTACCTGAGTCAAACACTGAATTCTGTTGTCTCCAGGATGTCTCCTTCAGAAGAGAAGGACTCTGTGGTGATTGTCTCTGTCGCAGATGTACGTATGAAAAATAAGTGGCTTTCCTCATGCCCAACCTGTGGTCTCCAAATACCCTTCCTTGATGGTAATCACTGTATCGTTTTGGACTTTTTTCCTTAAATTTAAAAAAGCAATTCGTAGATGCCTCTTTTGGATAGCAGACAATGTATTCAGTACTAATTTGGCACCACTGAGAAGGAATTAAATACATCAGTCTAAAAAGAAAATACAGTGGTTCCATGTGGAGAAATAAGATTATGTTGTTAAATATATTACCAGGAGCCCTGCATACTATATGATACAGAACTCATATTTACAAACAGAACATTAAAATTAAAATTGAAGCTGGAGTAATAAAACTTGCCAGCCCAATAAAAGGTAGGTATATGAACCGAGATAATTTATATTAACTCAAGTAACAATAACCGTCATGAATATTGAGGGACTCCTTTCTATGTGTGAAGGATTGTAGACAATTTTTATATACATTATTTGTGGCTCACATTGCATCCTTGTAAAGTAGGTGTAGCTATTTTACAGGTGAAGAAACTGGAGCTTATAGAAAGTAAGTTGCCCAGTAATTAATACATCAGATTCAAATCTATGTCTAATGGCACCCAAATTTTCTATCTTCTAACGCCACGTGAGAGCTTATATAAAGCACTGTATAAATATTAAACTCATAAAGCCTTTTGGAGAGGGAGTTTGGCAACTTGTATTAGATTTAAAATGTGTATATCCTTTATATCAGAAACCTCAATTCTGGGAAGTTATCCTAGGGAGATAATCAGGCAAGAATTCCAAAATAATAAAAAATTGACAGAATGTACGGTAGTTGAGAACACTTACACTAGATCTGGATTGCCAAGGTTCAAATGCCTTGGCTGGTTCAAAAGTCATTTTTTGGCTTGTGAACTTGAACAAGTTCCATCATTTTTCTATGCTTCACTTTTTTTCTTTGCAAAACAGTGATAATAATATCATCTATGTCATAGGGTTGTTTTGTCAATTAAATTAGCTATTTATTTAGAATGATTCATGGTATGTAGAGAGTGTCCAATAAGTAATTATTTCAAGGATTTTCAGTGCACTGTGCTTTTTAAAAGCATAATATTGGAAACCACCAAAAATGTGTATCAGTAAGAGGCTGATTAAATCCTTATGTCTACATTGCAGTAATCTGCAGTGCAATTTTAACCTCGGAAAAGAGAATTAATAGCTACGTATATTTACTGACATAAAACGATATCCATATCATATTGTTGAGTGGGAAAACGTTGCAGAACATCTCATCTAACATAATATTATCCATGTAAAATGTGATGGAAGGAGGTAAAAAATATACAGAGAAAATATATAAAGAAAAAAGAAAATGAGCAAACCTTGGAATAATGGTCTCCAAAATATAAATAATGGTTATCTCTGGATTGGAGGGATCTTTATTGTCCTTTCTATATTCTTTTCTCTATTTGAATTTTCTATAATAAACATGTCTTTGGATGCAGAAAAAACTCAAAAAACAAAAACAAGCAATAGAATAATTAAGAGGAAAATATAAATAAAAGATTAATTAATAAATAAACATTCTTGTTTATTAAACTTGTTTCCAAGTTTAATTTCTTAATATTGAAAGCATATACATAATCTCCAAATGTTTTGTCACATTTCTGTACATTAAATATTACAATCTTTATTTCTTTGCTGCTGACACAGTGCACATGTACCTAAAATGTTTAGGCGAGTAATAAAATATTAAGGACAAATGTTAAAATGGAATGTAGAATGCTTAAGAAGTGTAACTTTAGTATTAGGTTTAAAATACAAAATATTTCAGTGTAACAAATAGCTGGTGATTCAATTGGTGGCTGTCTCAAAAACCTTAGGTACTGTCAGAGTTATCTGCATACATCATCATGATGGATATTTTAAAATAAACAATCTGACTATATACTTTTAGAGTACTCGGATTTGACAGTAGAACTGTCATTATTCAAAAATTTTCATAATTTTGTATTAGGAATGCTTGGGGCCCTGAAGCAATGTTGTGTGAAGGCTATCATTTTTGTAAAAAAAAAAAAAATCTGAGAATGTACTATCAAAAGCTATTTACATAGAATCTTTTCATCTAATATAGCACAGAATTTGATAAAGAGTAGGCACACAAGGTTTGCTGATGGAAGATAATTTGGGAATTAAGCTGAGTAATACTGTCTGGAAAGCTGGTATAATTTTGAGTACTTTTATTATCCTATCCTAAAATGAAGACATTTTCAAAAAGAGCAGCTTTTAGACAAAACTGTTTTAGATACATAGGTTTTTGCATGCTAATTTTTATTTTATTTTAAAGATTTTATTTTTTTATTCATGAGAGACACAGAGAGAGAGACATAGGCAAAGGGAGAAGCAGGCTCCCCGTGGGAAGTCCAATGTGGGACTAGATCCCAGGACCCCAGGATCATGCCCTGGGCCAAAAGCAGACGCTCAACGGTTGAGCCACAGAGGCACCCCGCATGCTAATTTTTAAGTGTCAAATAATGTATAGTGATATTTTGTACTGTCACAAAGGAAGAATGAAATCTTTTCAGTACTGAAGTCAGATCTTTTAGACACATGGATATTTTAAATTCTTTTATAGAGGGTGAAAAAATAAAAAATCAGGACACGATAACATTCCATATATAAACTAGACTTACGTGTAGCAACCATACAGTAGCGAAACTATTAAGCATGCTTAATTTCAGTCAAATACTTTTCTCATTTTTAGAGAAATGAAGATTATTTAAAATATGTTGTGGACATGATTACAAAAAGGTAAGTACTGTCTGATAAGTTTAAAAATAGCTCTTCTTTCATTTTTCTATTTTTTTCTGCCCAGTTACATTACTTTATTAGTGATCTATCCATTTTGATGAGTGTAGCTGTATAGAAAGAACTACTGAGATCTGCAGGTAGTTCTAAGCTGTAATCAACTATAGCTTATGATTTTCCCCAATTTTGCAGGTTGTCTGCGTAATAAAATCCACCTTTTTCATGTTATTATCATTGTATCTATTTTCCATGAAATCCACTTCCTCTAACAGAAGCCTGCTAGATTATTTTTTAAGCATTTTTGTGTACCTTACTGTATGAAGTGACGTTCTCCACTTCTGTTTACAATCTCCTGCTGGATGTAACCCTGGAGATGCAAGCGCATGATGATGAACCAACATTGTTAGTTATCAAGCAAGATGCTGTGGAATGGACCGAGCCTTTCAGATCTTTATGTTCCAGTGGGTAATACACCTGGTAAAAACCAATCACAACAGGGACGCTGGTGTTTTGTGTTGGTATAGGGAGGGCAGTGGAAAACATGTAGAGGAGGAAGCATTTCACTCTGCCTGCAAGATACAAAGAAGGTAATAATTGAGCTGAGTGTGAAGGTGTAAGAGGATACTCTTAAAGCAGAAAAAAGGAGAAAGGGAATGCTTGGCAAATAGGATTGCTTGAGAAGGCAGAAAGGCCTAAAAGGAGCATGCTAGATTTATGGAAAAAGAAGTATATCCTGGAGTGTGAATATTTGAGATTAAGGAAGGAGTATGAGTAGGAGTTAATTAAGACAGTCTGGCATAAGGTCATGAAGAGCCTTCGGGAACATGCTAAGGATCATGCACTTGATGCTATAGAGCCGGGTTGCAAGCATGGCCTTCAAGCTGAATCTGGGCAACAGACCAGACCAGTTGGCTTCACTAGCAAAGTGTTTTGTTTCCTTACCAAACAGCTCAAGGGGAGGAGGCAAAGTTGTTTTAGTCAAAAGAATTCCAGCTAATAACTGTAGAAAGAATTGAATCAGAAAATCACCGTTTTGAAACAGTTGGTTCAGGCAGGTCATTAAGTGACATGTGGCTGGAGAACTTTAGGAGGAAGGCCTGCCTGCCAGCATCCAAACAGGAAAACCCCTTGGTAGTTGAGATGGAGGGAATTCAAAGGATTGGTCAAAAAAAGTGTTTACAGGGGCTGAGAGAACAAAAGAGAAGAAAGGAAATGGGAGAAGCCTAAAGGGAGATGGCTTACAGCTCAAGGTCTGACGGTGGCTGCACCCTGCTGCTGTGCTACCCACGGGGGGGCTCTGTCGCAGGGCCACCCCCGTGGACCCCACTCCTGGGGGGCCTTCACCGAGCCCCAAGGTAGGAAGAACAGCCTCTCTTGCTGCCCCCCCGCAGGTGGAACCCAGCAGGATCCAGCTAGCGAGGGCCCGGGGTTGGCGTGCAGACCCCCTGCCCCTGCGATACCGGCAGAGCACAAGTGTGAGACTAGGCTGAGGGCAGGCAGGCAAGCCCGAGGGGGGCTCAGGTGCCCCCAGCTCAACCCCGGGTCAGCCTCAGTGTCCCTGGATGCCAGACAGACGTTTGGGTCTTCTGATGTGTAGCCAGCGAAATACACTGAAATCACGGCGGGGCATTATTGCCCACCACCCTCCAAAATACAATATAACACAACACAAGACAGAACAGGCTTTTTAAAATGTTTGTGAGTTTCAGAGGTAGAATTCAGTGATTCGTCTGTTGCATGTAACACCCGGTGCTCATCAGATCAAGTGCCCTCCCTGGTGCTCATCACCCAGGGACCCCATCCCCCAGCCACATCCCCTCCAGCAACCCTGTGTGGTTCCTAGAGTTAGGCTCTCATGGTTTGCTTCCCTCTCTGTTTTCTCCTTATCTTATTTTTCCTTCCCTTACCCCATATTCATCTGTTTTTTTTTTTTTAAGATTTTTTGTTTACTCATGAAAGAACCAGAGAGAGAGGCAGAGACACAGGCAGAGGGAAAAGCAGGCTCCATGCGGAAAGCCAGATGGGGGACTCGATCCCAGGACCCCGGGGTCACGCCCTGGGCCAAAGGCAGATGCTCAACTGCTGAGCCACCCAGGCGTTTCCCCTCCCACCACCCCCCCCCGACCTTTTTAAAAAATTTTATCTTTTTGTTTCTTAAATTCCACATATGAGTGAAATCATATGTTCAAGACTGAATGACCTTTAATCTAAAGTCCGGTTTAGAGTGTACACAGTGATTAGAGGAAGCAGTCTGTAGTAACCACTAGGATTCAGGACATTGTAGAATACAGTTGATCCAGTTCTTTTCAAAAAGATAGTTGAGGGAAAAAAAAAAAAAAGAAAAGCTGAAATAACTGGTCTGGAAAATAAATTTTAAAAAGAACCCAGAGATAACAGCTTATAATAAGAGGATCTTATGTGGTTACTTATTTGAACACCATCCCCCACCCCACCTTTACCCATTCACCTGTTAGATACTTTTTAGGGTACTGAGGATATTTGAATATCAACTGAATATTATGTGATATTAAATAGCTATTCTTAGTCTTGTAAGGTGTGATAATGGCATGTAGTTGTGTAAATAAATGTCCTTTTTGATTTGACACTGAAGAATTAAAGGGTGAGAAATGATACCTAGGATTTGTTTTAAAATACTTCAACACCAAAAAGGGGGCTGTATGGATGAAACAAACATAGTAAAAATGAATGGTTGAAATCAGGTGATTTGGGATTCATCGTAGTCCCACTTTTCAGTGTGTGTGAGGTAATTTTCAAAATAAAAATTTAAAGAGTTGAATTAGACTGTTCTCAACAACCTCGACTGATGGGGAGAGGTGTTAAAACAGAGCAGCCTAAGGGTGTTTGGGGAGGTCTGGAGATGGGAGACCAGGAGTGGTTTTATATGTGCTCTCATCCCCCAGGAGGAAGCTGATGGACAAGGTCTAGGGGGAGTTGGATCCAAGATACACATGGAAGGATTTAGACAGGACTAAGCTAAGATAAAGGGGGGAAAGATAAGAACAGGTGAAGGAGCAGAAAAAACATGATTAGTCTGAGAAAGACGGTGAAATGAGAGCATTCCCTCCTTAAAGGGTTTTTTTTCCTCTGTGAAAGAAAGCTGGTGTGCTGAGAATGAGGATTTTATTAGCAGTGAACTTGAACTTGAGAGTGGTGGTGAAGCCTGAGAGGAGTAGATGATGTTATGGAAGGAGATAGAATTGGGCAAGATCAACTAAAACATCCTTGTCTGTCTCGTTTTACCCAAAAAAGGTTCCCCAGGAAAAAAGTTGCCTCATACTTGAATCCTTAAAGTGTTCTCATATTCCAGGACGCCTTCTCTTGGTTGCTTTATTCTGCATAATAGACCACTGTTTGGAGAAGACACATTAGCCTGAAATGACTTAAGTCTATGCTGGTTTGGTGTCCTTATAAGGGAGTCTTCACAGAATCAGTTACAAAGCAGGCAGAGGTTTATAAACAACTCCTGGAGATATGTTTGCATACTTGCAAATTTTTTGAAGATGACTTTCAAAAAGTATTATAGTATGTGGTTACTTGTGAGGACCACAATAAAAATACTTCTTGATGTAGACAGATACTTGTGTTTTCTATGAAATGTGCAAAGACAATGTCACTAAGTAGAATTTTAGTTAGACTTGATGATCATATGTTAGATGATTCAAAAAGAGATTCTCATGGTGATAAGAATGTAATGTTAACAACGCAGGATAAAGAGTTGGAATAAAATTGTTTTATTTTTTTGTGAGAATAGAGTAAAACTAATTTTTAAATAGATATTACAGAATATGCAATTTAAATGAGATTGTTAATATAGATTCATAACTTTTCATTTATATACCTAAATTTTATATATTTAATTTAGCCAAGACCCTTTTTCTAGGTCTTCTCATCGGGGTTAAGAGAGATTGCTCTATATTTTATTGATCCTACATTTGAGACCAAATAGTAATTGTTAAAGGACCACCTAAGGTTATGTATGACCTTATATGAAGTTGTGTATAACTGTGTACTTTATATAAAATGATAAAGCTGTAAAGTTTCCACTTTTTTATAACTATAAGCTAAAATCATTCATTTATAATGGCAACGATGTACAGTTTATACTATTTCTCTAGTCATTGACAACTAGCAGGCCTGGTATCATTGTCTCAAGGACTTTTTATGCTATCCATAACCTAACAAGCTAGAAAAGATTTGAAGAATCCTAGAAAGGTGTCACCACACAGAATTTCAAAAGTCTTGCTTAAGACAGACTAAATAAAGCTGAGCCTCGGATCTTCCTCTTTATCTATAATGGGAAATTTTACCATCAAGATAGAAATTACTTGTAACTTGACTTTTGTTGCTTTGGGACTTTGTATGAAATTTTCTAGAGGACAAAATTTACTTAGAAGCATCTGCAATCCAAACTTTCTGATGATTGTATATACTGCAACTTGATGTTATTTTTGCTTGTCTCTGCTATTCTAAGTTGCTGTATGAAGTTATGCGATTTCATTTTTTAAAATGTAGATATTATGTTACTAACCCCAAATCAACTAGAATTCCTGTTTTTCTTCCATACCAACATTTTCTGCTCCTCAAGGAACATACTAAAATAAGCTTTTGGAAAACTTTCCATTTGATATACCATAAAATATGAAGAGCCAATAAGACTTTCATGCTCCCCATGTACACTTCCCAAATAAATAAATAAATAAATAAATAAATAAACAAACAAATAAATAAATAACTAGGAAATCTTCCACTGTTGCATAGAGCCTGGGAGTATTGAGTGCGTGTAGAACAGTTCTTTTTCTGCAAGAGTATGTAGTGCTGTTCCAGTTTTACAGATGAAGAACCTGAAGGTCAGAGAAGGTAAATGACTTGCTTAACGTTTGTCAGTGAAGGAAGCAAAGTTGGTAGAGACCCTTTTCTGGGTCTAAACCCTATATCCTCTCTAGTGGGTAGCTGCTGCTTCCCCAGGCTCCTGACACACGCCTATGATGAAACATTTGGAAATCATTTAAAAAGCAAATGAAAGGAGCATAATTGTCCACATTCCAATGGCACAGGGAGGCAACACAGCCGCATGTTCTCCTGTCTGTAGGTGACCTAACAACAGAGTCACAGGGATTGGGCACCAACAGACTTTGAAAGGAACAGTGAGACGACGATACGCATTTGTCATTTATGTAGTGATTTGTGAGCTGAAGAGCCCGAAGCGAGTTTGTACTGTATGGGCTTGTTCACGGTTAATACAGTAGGATGAGCCAAATTCGAACAGTGTGGTTGAGGGAGACATGTCATTTAACTAAGACATGGTAACTGGGGTTCCCATAGTGGAATTGCGCAAAGTGGGGGCTGCCTATTTTGCACGTAATTGAGATTGTGCATATAAAACTCCCATCTTGCGTTTTCACTATTAGCACAGAACTTTTTCTTGAGGTTTTAACATTTTAATAAATATTCTAATGCCTAGGTTTTAATCCCATTTAAAGTCATAATATCTATCTCCAAAGGAAAACCGTTTAAAATGCTTTACTTGGTATATCCCATCCTTTACCTTGATGGCACAAGATGTGTATTGCAGCTTTTGTGAGCAATATTTTGTGCATTTTAATGGTGTCCTAGTTAGTCTATAAATATTAACTTTTAAAAATAAAGATTCACAAAGCATACATAGTCATCCAGGGAATTTTGGACAAGAGTCACACTGAATCCTTGCTTGCTATGAGGAGTCTATACTTTCAGCAGCCACAATACTAGTCGGTAGGACTCTTCCTGCTCTAAACAATGCACTTTATTTTTATTTTTATTTTTTAAGATTTTAGTTATTCATTCATGAGAGACACAGAGAGAGGCAGGCTCCCTGTGGGGGCGCCCAATGCAGCACTGATCCCGGGGCCCTGAGCCAAACGCAGGCGCTCAACCACTGAGCCACGCAGGCATCCCAAAACTATGCACTTTAAAAAATCATCTAATGTTTTATGCTAATTCGTTAGTTCCATTATTTTGAATCTTTTAGAGTACATATCTAATTGTAAACTTGCAAAAAATTAAATGCCTGTAATTTTTATGAGACTAAATTAAATTTATATTGTATATTTTAACTTTTTGTTATGTTGCTCACTAATTTATAAAAGAAATACTCTGGCTAAAAAGTATTAGTTTCATAATGTGGATATCGTGTATCAACGTGAGAAAATTCAAATAAAAATATTATGTGGACAGGCATGAGGACATTCTTTTGAAGTATTTGCTATTTTGGTAAATCAAAAATTGAGTTGCAAGCTTCCATTTACTTCTGTTTACAGATTCAAAAGGCAACTTAAGTCTGGATCCTTAGAAGTCATTTCAATACCTGCCTTTTTTTATCCAAACATATTACCTCTCACACAGTCAACTGAGGACTTGGGAAAATTAGAGAGGTATGACATATTACCTTAAATAACTTCATCCGTTGTAATGTTGGAACCAGCCTCTAATAGATCCCATTTCAAACACTGCCAGCTCCTACTAGCTTGCAAGAGCTGACTGTGCGCATTACTTCCCAAGCTGCATTCAGCGACATCAAGTTGGTAGCATGAAATCAGCCCTGGTAAGAGCATTTACACCATGGAAATGGGCAAAAGCTAAAAATCGTGGCTCACCCCCACCCCATTCTGGGAAGAATGAGTTGTTAAACATATACCAACAGCACACCATTGATTATCTATGTTCACGTTTTCAGCCAATAATTAGCAAGGGCATAAGGATGGGAAAAAGAAAGTGTGGGGTTATAAATTATTACATGTACATTCTAGTTACAACTTTTTTTCTGTTTGCTGGTCATGCTAGACAGGTAATGTAGCCTTTGTATTCTTAGATTCCTCACTTTTCCAGTGTGCATGATAAAATCTACTTTATACATTTGGAAAAGTCATTGTAAGAATAAAATATGATCGTGTTTATGAAAGAATTTTGAAGAATTTAAAGGTCTATACGTGTATGTAGGATCACTCTTGTTTTATTATAAATGTATTATAAGAAATGTAATAGTTTGGTTTCTCGGAACTTTAAATAGAGTAAAAAGAATGTCAGAATTAAGAAAAAAATCCGATCCCAGGAAACTTGTGAACTTTCGTTTTGTTTCACAATAATAAATGGCATGTCAGAGTTTGGACATCTCTTAAGGGTTTTGTTTTGCTTTGAATTAAGTAGTCTGTTCTTAGATCGCAGGGAGACATTCTAGATCCTGTTTTTTCTTTCTGCTCTTTCTGTCTCTATCATCATCTCTTCTTTTGTAAAAAATCTCTGCCTCATCCCTCTCATCCCCATTCCTCTGCCTTCGACTTCGTTCAGGCCATTCACGATCTATTTGTTTTCCCTAAGCCTCGCCTAATCTGGCCTCTCTTCTAATTCATTCTCCGGAGGGTAACCAAGAATCCCTTTTCATAGGAAATCAGGTCCAACTTTCTTCATGATCTGGCCTTTATACCCACCTTACCATCGTCAGATTTTTCCATCCACTCCTGGTGCTCTGGATCTAAGGTGGCACATGCTCCCACACATTTCATGCCTTTGCAATTCCAGTCCTCTCACTGAATGCCCGGCTTTCTGAGCCACCCGCCCCATCTTATTTTACATCATCATTGCCAGTGTCTCTGGCATATAGCAGTTCTTTCATTGTTCTGATTTTATTATTTTTCTGTCTTTTCATACTGGATTATGAAACCCAGAAGGGCAGACCTGCATCGTGTCTTGCTCTTTGTATCTTCGGGAACTGGGCTAATACTTAGCTTAGTAATAGATTAGAATAATTTAGTTTCTTCTTTCTTTTATTTGAACAAGACCTAAGATTAGAAAGAGTATTAACTTTACTACACAGATCAAAATTTAACTGACCAAAATGTAGAATAAATAGATTGTGCTTATCCTAGTTTAGTGATGGCAGATACGGTACACTGGGTAAAGATGGGAAACACTGTAATATAACTTCTCAGCATAACATATTCAATTTTACTTACTGTAGATAGTACTCTATATTAGTAAAGGGTAAAAAATTACTGAAATGTGCTTATAAATAAATTACATAATAATGACAAATATTAACAGATTTTATTACTTATCTTTAGTTGGCGCATCAAACAAGTACTGGATTTTTGTTTTTTGATGTTGTATGCCCAACCCAAGGCTATGTATTATTTACAGGTAAGACCATGGTGTGTGTGTGTGTGTGTGTGTGTGTGTGTGTGTGTGTGTGTGTGATTTAAAGTGGAGGTATGTTCTCCTTCCCTTTTGGTTCCTTCCTTCCTCATTATATTCCTCCACCTTACTTTTTATTCAGGAAATAGAAAATAATCGCTATATCAAAGTTCCAAAAAAAAGTTTAAGGTTGATTTTTTTTAAAAAAGATTTTGTTTATTTACTTGACACACACAAACACACACACAGACACACAGAGCACAAGCAGGGGAGCTGGAGAGGGAGAAGCAGACTCCCAGCTGAGCAGGGAGCCCAGCATGGGGCTTGGTCCCAGGCCCCCGGGATCATGACCTGAGCTGCAGGCAGATGCTTAACCGACTGAGCCACCCTGGCATCCCAGAGTTGATTTTATATAAGTCTTCTTGCTGGGTTTACTATTAACAGAGGAGATTATAGTTACCTGAAGCAAACTGAAAAGAAATTCTCAAATTAGAAAAAATAGAAACTGTACTTCCTACATTTCTCTTCCCACAGACTTATTACATTAGGCAGACCTATTTGAACGCATCTTAGATGTCAGATAGTGTGTCTGCCTACCCTGGCTCGCATTGTATGTTCTTCCCAGTTCTACAGGGCCTCACCGTATTTCTGAAATAAATCAATTATATATCACTGGTACTCCCTGAATTGTGGCATACTGTTAAGCAGTAGGGTTATATTTCCCAGCAGTGAGTCTGTGCCTTACTACATGTGACAATGTGCAGTTGTAAGAGGAGTTTGTAAGATACCATTGGAGAAGAGAGAGTGTTATAAAATCTCGAAGCAGGATTCTCTCTTTTACTGGCAGAAAAAATAAATCCCTTTTGATTCCTAGCTAGTGGAATGTAACAGAAACACGAGATCCAGCCAGTGTGTTCTTCCCAATTTGAAAAAGCGCCAATTCTTCTTTGTGCTTAGAGACTTTCACGTTTTTGTGAGTCATTTAGGATGGCCTCTTAGTGCATAGATTACACATAACATATATGAAATTAAAAAAGAAAGTTCTAATTTCCCCTTTCCCCTCTTATTATGGAGAACTATTTTTAGGCTTGCCTGCACCATCATTCTACAGAGCTAGTTGTGGATGACAGTGCCAATTCCCCCTTTGTCATCTCTATGCCAGCCACATTTCCTGGCAAGAGGACATGGCACCTGCCATCTCAAACATAAACCTGTGTGGCCTTAAATTAGAAACTGCAGTATTTGTAAGGATGAAAATGGATTGAAATATTTTTTTTTTCAGTGAGGAGTTAGATTGAAAAAAAAAAAAGGAGTTAGATTGAGCGTTCCATATTAGTGTTTAGGAAACAAACAGATCATCTCTGGTCTCAGAACCTGAAAGTGAAAACCAATTAACAGTAAATACCCTAAGTGACTTGAACTAAAAATAAAATTTACCTCATAAAAAGATTTTCTTCAATGTATCCTATTGAAAGTTTTTTTCAATTCTCAAGCTAATACAACTTATTCAATGGAAGTATCAAAGGTACTAATGACCTTTTGGTTTTTTTCCAGCTAGAAGATGATATCATAGCTAAAAAGATGTACTTTACGAAAATCATAGATTTTGTGCATAGTGGTACTTCAAATAATTGGTTTTATATTGAGTTTTCAATTCTTGGATTCATAGGTAAGCAACATACCTATTTTTTAGCATATAGGTTGCATAGGTAAGCAACATATCTATTTTTTTTTGGTAGATAATCTTAAAAGAACTTACCAGTTTGTTACTAAATGAAAAGGAATAACATGATTTCTATAAAAGATAATACTAATTTAATAATAAGATCAAATTCAAGTATCTGGATTTCAGAAAATGTATTTTTAAACCAATTTTTCCTAGATGGGAAATATAAATGAGCAGGTTGACATATATGTTATAAAAACATAAGAAAGCTACCACTTGCTAAATGCTCGCTGGGAGTCTGGTGCACATGTGTTATTAGCTCAGTGACAAAGGTGTATTTCTCTATTTTATATGAAAAAATATTCTGTTTAAAGAATTGAAGTTATAGAGAAATGAATTCCAACTTAGAACTACCCTACTCTAAATTTCCTGTAATTTCCAGTATGCCAAAGCTGACATACTTAGAAAAGTATAAAAATATATGAGTCAGACCCATCATGGAAAAGTTTCTAAAATTGTGCCCATGATGTGATTTTTAAAAAATGTCTTCTATAGACTTTCTTTTTTCTTCCTTCCAGTCTTTCCACCCTTCCTTCTATACTTGTCCTTTTATTTGAATCCTGAGGCAGCAGGCTGAATGACCATACTTATTTCACGGTGCATGTCAACTCTTCATGTGGGAGCCCTCTCTTATTTTATTCTTTTGTTTTATGCCCAGTCCATACTCCCACTTCCTCCTGCCCCTCAATAGGTTTGCACTCTACTATGTTCAAAGAATACACATAAATATGCATGTATCCGTGTCACATACTTGGTGTTTATCATGTTTGTAACTGTTTAAAGTTTACATCAATGGTGATGTGATAAGCCTATTCATACCCCTTATGCTTCTGTCCTCAAAACTAGATTTTAAAACTGCCAACATGTCGACTTATGTCCTTTTAGTTTATTGTTTCTTACTGCTGTTGCATAAGTCCTATGTAATCATTTGATTTATGCATGATCAGAGCGGTTGACCTTGATTGCTTCCAACTCTTTGCTGTCACAAAGAAATGAAGGGACATGTATATCCCTGGAAGCAGGATCACTGAGGGTGAATATAGCAGTGTCTCTACATGGTGCCAGATTGCTTTGCAGATTGTACAATTTATACTCCCTTGGGCAGCGTCTGAGTTCCTTCTTTTCCTTTTGCTTGACAACATTTGCATTTGATCCTATCCGTGACTTTTTTTTTTTTGGCCACTGGGAGTAATGTAAAGCATTTCTTTGAATGCTAGGGAAATCTGTTATTCATATACTTACTTGACATCTTCTTTTCCATACTTTCTGTCAAGTGTTATAGAATCCAATTTTAAGACTCCAGAGGTTTTGCTCAGCCTTGCTTTAAATAAGAAGAGAAATTGTAGGTAAAGTATAATACCTGATAAGCTTGAAGAGGAAGTCATTTTGTTGATACGTTACTTTGTGAACTATAAATTCCTTTTTCTCTTTCTTAACAAAGTCAGGTAGGAAAAGGATAGAGGATATTCATGTTCTGATCACAAGACCACATTGACAGGTGAAGTCTTACTAGAGCTTAGGTTTACAAGGGCTTTGTGTTTTGTTGTTATAATAATAACCATTTTTTTAACTCAATATTACCAAAACTATGAGTTTGCTAAACACAATTTTATAACAGACTGATAGCAGATGAGGAAAACATAAATACTGAATCATCTGTTTCCATCATTAAATCACTTGTTTTGGTCACTACATAAATGGGTGCCAAAAAGTTAGAATACAACCATATATTTGATTACATAACCCATACAGACTCAGCCCCTGGTGGATAAAATGAAGCATGCTTATTTCATACTATCGTGTTTATTAAATGATTAGATGTATTTTATACTATTTACTTTAAACTGGCCATTTACCTGACTCTTAGACCTTCAACTTCATTTAAATTAATTTGAAAATTAAAGATGCAGTATGTTAGGAAAAAAGCAACTGGGCCTAATGAAATATATTACTTTAAAATATAGCATAAATAAATAAAAATTAAAAAAAATAAATAAAATATAGCAAATCCTTGAGAATCACAAATATAAAACAAAATTCACATAAAATGATGCTCAAATATTGAAATAATACTGTATTTTAATCAAAATTAAGTACTAAACATAAAAAATCTGGTAGATTGATAAAGTTCTACTAAAGTCAAGTTATAAATCAGTTTATGCAAAATTAAGTAAAAGATTATACCTCCTATGCTTTTCATCCTATTTATATATCTTTTTTATTACAATGTATTTATCTTTCATGTGACTTGGAAAATTGATCTCACTGGTCATGAGAAAGTTGATTTCCTGAGAGTAGTCACTATCCTAAACCTGCCTTACCTTTTCTTGCCCAGAAGTGGTAATCCTTAATACTTAGGCAGATATAGTATTTTGTTTTATTATCCTTCAACTTCACTAATACTTTAAGCCTTATTTATTTTGAAGGAATATGATGTATTTAATTTTTAATGATTTTTTTGGTCCTTGCTCATGTTAATAGCATGAACAACTATATATAAGTGTTATTTTATGATATGTAGTGTAGACACTCAAGAGTTATTTGGATTTGTTTACTTTTTCTCCATAGGAAAGCTGTTTAAATCTGAGGACTTAACTGACTTTGTACGTTTTTTTTTAATGTTCTACAAAGATAAACCCATAGATTTGCTCTTGGGGGACATTTTTCAGGTAAAGATGTGTGACCCAGGAGAAACTCCTGTGAGTATTTCTTTACTTTGTAAATACAAAATATTTTAGGAAAATACTCTCTGTCTAATGTAATTCCCTAAAATTTGTTTACCTCACTAATCCTCCCTATACTTCACTAATACCTCACTAATCCTGACGAGTGCATTAATTTTTTTAACTTCTGGTATCCAGAATTTTTACAGAAACCTATACTTACTTAATGAAGTAATGAGAGGCCGTAAGTTAGTGAAAAGCAGAAAAAGGGGGACAAAACAATAATAAAATGATGGATATAAATCTAAATATGCCACTATTTACATCAAATATAAATGACCAAAATATACCAATTAAGAGCTATTTCATCAGAATGGATTAAAAAACACTATGCAGTTACTTTCTGTCTATACTCAGTTCAAATATAATAATATTCATAAGGAAAGGTGAAGGTTAAAAGGAAAAGGTGAAAAAAGAAAAACTATGAAGACACTAATCAAAGAAAATCTGTAGTAGCTAAACTAATATCAAGTAGACTTTGGTGCAAAAAAACAAAAAATTTGACCAGGGATCAAGAAAGATACTATATACTGAGAAGAGGGACGAATCATCAGAAACATAAAACAATCCTGAAAGTGTATCCATCTAATGACAAAGCCTCAAAATACATGAAGCAAAAGATGACAGAACTAAAAGGAGAAATAGATTAGTCTACAATTATACTTGGAAACTTCAACACTCCTCTCTCAGTAAGCAACAGAACTGGTGAGTAGAAAACCAGCAAAGCGATAAAAGAATTGAACAACACCATTTACCATTTGGATTTAATTTCTGTTTTAAAAACACTATGTCCAACCACAGTAGAAAACACATTATTTTGAAATACACATAGAACATTCACCAAAATAGACATATCTTGTATCATAAAACAGAGCTTAACACGTTTTTTTTTATTTTTCTTTTTTTCTTTTTTTTTCTTAACACGTTTAAGATGAAATCACATACACACAAAAATGAAACTAAAATCTGACAGACAACAATGAAGTAAAATTAAGAAACTAACAACAGCAAGATAACTGAAAAATCTACAAGCGCTTGTAATTTAAATGGTATACTCCTGATAAGCCATGAGTAAAAGAGGAAGTCTCTAAAGGAAATTAGAAAATACTTTGAATTGAATGAAATGATAATACAACCTATCAAAATTTGTGGGATGCAGCCAAAGCACTGCTTATGGAGAAATTTATCCTAGAAGAAATCATTATCTTAGAAGAAAAGAAAGATCTCACATAAATAATCTCAGCTTCCACCCTAAGTCACTAGAAAAAGAAGACCCAAATAAACCCAAATCAAGCAGAAGAAAGGGAATAATAGCTATGAAAGCAGAAAGAAAGAAAATTGAGAACATAAAAGCAGTAGAGAAAATTAATGAAGCCAAACTCTGGTTCTTTGAAAAGAGCAAGAAAACTGATAAATTTCTAAGAGTGACAAAGAAAACCCCAAAACATAAATCATCAATATTAAAATTAAGAGAGAATGTCATGACACTTATGTATGTGTGTGTGTAAATATAACAAAATATTTAGGTTATCTGTATGCTGAAATCTTAAAAATGCTGATGAGAGAAATAGACATACCATGATCATGATTGTATATAGTAAGTAGACAAATGCTTCCTAAAATGATCTATTGATTTAGCATAATTCCAATCAAAATCCCAGCAGGATTTGCTATGGTAGATACAGACAAGCTAATTCTAAAATTTTTAAGAAAGGGCAAAGGAACTATTTTAGCTAAAATGATTTTGAAAAAGAAGAAAAAAGTTGGAGGCATCACATTATTCAATTTGAAATCTTATGATAAAGCTACAGTAAGCAGGACACACATTTATACGTAAAGAAGTAAACAAATAGACCCATGGAACAAAACAGTTCAGAAATAGGTCCAAAAAATATGGCCAATTGATATTTGACAAAGGAGCATATGCAATTCAATGGAGAAAGAATAGTCTTCTCAACAAATGTGTATTGGGGGAGCTGAGTGTGTGTGTGTATATGTATATATATATATGAGATTGTGTATATATACACACCCATATATATCTCTATATGATATATACTATACATCCGTATATATCTCTATACATATATATCTATATAATGTAAACGTAACATCACAGTTGATACAAACATTTCAAAATAGATCATCTGGGGGCAGCCTGGGTGGCTTAGTGGTTTAGTGCCGCCTTCAGCCCAGGGCCTGATCCTGGAGACCCGGGATCAAGTCCCATGTCCAGCTCCCTGCATGGAGCCTGCTTCTCCCTCTGCCTGTGTCTCTGGCTCTCTTTCTGTGTCTCTCTTGAATAAGTAAATAAAATCTTTAAAAAAAAAAAAAAAACAAAATAGATCATCTGTCTAAATATAAAACATAAACTATAAAACTTTTAGAAGAAAGTGTGGAAAAACATCTTCAGGATCCAGGACCAGGAGAAGAGTTTTTAGATATGACACTAAAATTATGATCCATTTTTTTTAATTGCTAAGTTGGATTTCATCCAAATTAAAATCTTTTGTACTATAAATTTTACTGTTAGAGTATAAGACACCACAGAGTAGGAGGAAATATTTGAAAATTCCATATAAACAAGGATTTGTATTCAGAATATATGTAAAACTCAAAATTTAACAACAGGAAAACAACCCAATTAAAAAATAGGCACAAGACTTCAATAGACACTACCAAGGTATTTTCTTCTTTACTGCAATAAGTAATGAACTCAGCTTTTCTTTATCAACAGGTTATTTGAGGGATTTGGGGAAGCCAGAATTTGATAATACCATCTCATTGGTACTTCCTATTACTAGCTTAGCAAATGTAAGCATATTTCCTAAATTTTAATTCCTCAACTAATTTTATCTGACTTTAGTTTCAGATTAACTCTAGATTATTTAGTTTACAGTTTTAAAAACAATCATTTAATATAATATTTTATTACATGTTAGTACTGAGTAGAAATGCATTTAAGTAAGTAAATGCATTTAAGTCTGCTATTTAAAAAATAAAACAAAAAGGCAATCTACTGAATGGGAGAATATATTTACAAATAATATACCTCTGATAAGGGGTTAATATCCTAAATATATGAAGAATTTATACAACTCAACACTAAAAAAACAAGCCAATGAAAAAATGGTCAGATAACCTGAATAGACGTTTTTCCAAAATACATGACATGAGTCATCATGAGAAAATGCAAATCAGAACCATAATGAAATAGTACTTCACACTGGTCAGAATGGCCAAAATAAAAAAATCACAGGAAATAACAAGTATTGGCAAGGGTGTGGAGAACAAGGAACCCTCGGGCACTGTTGGTGGGAATGCAAACTGGTGCAACTACTGTGGAATATAATATGGAGGTTCCTTAAAAAATTAAAAATGGAATTACCATATGATCCAGTAATTCCACACTGGATTTTTACCCAAAGAAAACGAAATACTAATTGGAAAAGGTACACGTACCCCATGTTTTTATAGTGTTATTTACAATAGCCAAATTATGGAAGCAGCCCAAGAGTCCATTAATAGATGAATGGATAAAGAAGATGTGGTGTGTATACACAACGGAATATCATTCAGCCACAAAAAAGAATGAAATATGCGCATTTGCAACAACATGGATGGAGCTAGAGAGTATAATGCTAAGTGAAAAAAATGAGAGAAAGACAAATACAATATGATTTCACTCATAGGCCCAATCTAAGAAACAAAACAAATGAGCAAAGGAAAAAAAAAGACAAACCAAGAAATAGACTCTTTCTTTGTAGGGGAGGCCAGAGGGCAAGGGAGACTCTTAAGCAGGCTCCACACCTACTGCAGAGCCTGACATCACAACCTGAGATCATGCCCTGAGCTGAAATCGAGAGTGAGACACTTAACCGGCTGAGCCATCCAGCTGCCCCAAGAAATAGACTCAATGATAGAGAACAAAGCGGAGGTTACCAAAGGGATGTGGGTGGGGGGTGGGTGAAGTAGGGGAGGAGAATGAAGAGTACACTTTTCATGATGAGCACTGGGTAACGTACAGAATTGATGAATCACCACATTGTACGCCTGAAACTAATCTAACTCTGCATGTTAACCATACTGGAATAAAAATTAGAGAGTATGGGATGCCTGGGTGGCCCAGTCAGGTAAGTGTCTGACTCTTGATTCTGGCTCAGGTCATGATCTCAGGGTCGTGAGATCCAGCCCCTCATCTGGGTCTGTGCTCAGCAGGGAGTCAGTTTAAGATTATGTCTCTTCAAAAAAAAAAATTAAAATTATGTCTCTTCCTCGCCTTCCACTCCTCCCCCTGGGGTGCTTGCTCTCTCTCTCTCTCTCTCTCTCTCTCTCTCAAAAAAATGAATCTTTTAAAAATTATTGAGTATATAAATTTGAGATGCATTTTTATGAACTTTCTACATATACAGTATACAAAATCATTCTCAACACTCATAGTAGTTTCAGATATTTCCTTCAATAGGATTGCTGTCACAGGTCATCTTTGTTATTTTTATTTTTAATTTTTATTTATTTTTATTTTTTATTAAAGATTTTATTTATTTATTTATTCATGAGAGACACACAGAGAGAGAGCCAGGGAAACAAGCAGGCTTCTCTCAGGGAGCCTGATGCAGGACTCGATCCCAGGACCCTGGGATCATGTCCTAAGCCCAAGGCAGATGCTCAACCTCTGAGCCCCCCAGGTGTCCCTTATTTTTATTTTTAATGAGATTAATCAAATATTTTTCCATAAAGTATAATATTGGTTCTTTGTTTTAATCATGTTTTTTTCCTACTTAAGAAACTCAGGAGGGTGTACCTCAGTGTAGGAATTAATGACTATGGAAAGAGAAAGAACACTGTAGTCTGAAAGAAATGGATAGAAAATACAAAAGATTTCATCTATGTCATTGAAATAAAAAGAAGGAAGCAGAAAATGATAGCTGGTACAAAAGTAGAAAATACATGCTTTAACTGAAACCTTTTTGTATCTCAACTTGTATTTTATTATACTTATGAAGAAAAAGCTAAAAAGTAAAAATAAAGAGATTTAAAAAGCTAAGAAAGTTTTATTTAATTTTTAAATATTAAAACAGAATTCTGACATAAAACAATATAACCCAAAATTCTGCCATCATATATGCAATAAAAAGGGAGTATATTTGGCTTATTACAGAAGATTGTTGTTTCTCTTATTTTTCCCAGGAAAAATGTGCAGAACGAAATAAGCACATTCGTATTCGATATAAACCTTCTCTTTTCCAGCATGTGGGTATACAGTCATCATTCCCTGGAAGAGAACAATATTCCAAAGTAAGATTTTGAAATGTAACTTGAGTAATATACAATGTCTCATGAACTTACAGTGTTTAGAGAAGGGGTGATGAAAATACAAGACTGTAAAATATGGTTTTTTAAACATAATTCATCTTATGGTAACTATATGTTGTGAAGAGCCATCATCTTTTCGAGACCCTAGTGATCTGTCATGGAAAGAAAAATCCAGCCTATGTAAACTTCTTTGCCTTACTGTTCCCAGCTGTATGATTCAAGTAATGACTACAAATGCGTTTTAAAAGTCATGATAGAATTCACTATTTTAGTTTAGTATTTAGAGTTATAGAAGAATATTTCTAAATAAAATGCCCCTGTTGTAGAATTTAAGTGTATCGGCATTCTTTTTTTTTCAGATCACTATTTGCCATGTCAAGAAAAATTCGGTATTGTTTGATTTTTAATCATTCTTTAATTTTCCATCATTTTTGGAAGCAATGTTATTTGTAATTGACTTAGCATCTTGGTACGGTAGAAAAAGCAGAGACTTTAGAGTCAAAACAACTAGTTTTTAGTTATGGTAAGAGTGGTTTAAATTAGGTGAGCCTTAAGATGTTTCCTACCTTTGAAAGAGTCTCCCTTTATAGTTTCTTCATACAAAAAAACAGATGATTGCCTTACTCTTTTGTCAGTTGAAATGAGAGACATTTACATACACGTACTCCCATCATTTCATTCATTATTTATGACCTGCCCTCTTTCCACTTTTTCTACTCCTTATCTCTGTGTATTTGTTGTACTGCACTCCTTGGAACACTGCCTGAAAAATAGCGTGAATTCAGTAAATTTAGCTATTAGCAATTAGGCAAAGTGAAATTCTAGATTAAAAGTGTTCATTAAGCAAAACAAACAAGTGCCAGGAATAATGAAAATTTAACTGTTATGAATCTTGATGCAGAAAATAACACCATGAAAATACATAAAACATAGTCGCAGGTGATGCAGAAAGAAATTGATCGATACCATTCTATTTGTTGGTGCTATCATAGTGGGACTCTTTCTTCCATTACAGTTTTTGCTGAATAAGGTATTTTAGCCTTACCTTTGTAAATTCACAACCTACTAAGTAGAAAATTTAATCACTCATATTTCATATTATGATCTAGCTTTTTCCCTTTTTATACCTCACCCAATGTAAAATAGAAATAAATAACAATTTAATGACATGTCAAAGGTAGTTGTACATTTTAAAAATTTATACTGTTTTGTTACAATTATTTAATTATATTATTTTTAAAATTTCTTACAGGATATTTATTATTAGGAGTCTCATAATTCAAACACCTTCTTTGAAAATGATCGGCATCATTCTTTGGAAACAATGGCATAATAAGGATTAGTCTTAGTTCTCAATTTTCTTCATAGTGGATAAGAGACTTTATCATATACAAAAATTTAAACCTTTGACAATATAGTGGTAAGTATAAAAATTGATATATAGCAAATTATCAGATACTCGTTAGTTTTATTTTATATATGTTGTGTCCTTTAAAAGTTTATACAGATAACTTTTTGATATACTAATATTTTGTCTTAGAAGAGTGAATAAGTGTTTTCCTTTTTTATCTTATACTGTAGACATACAATGAGTTTGGAGACAATACATCTGAGTTGGAAGCCTCATTCTTTCTTTTTTTAGATTTTATTTATTTGAGAGACTGAGAGAGCATGAGCAAGGGGAGGGGGAGGAGGAGAAGTAGAGGTAGAAGCAGACTCCCTACTGAGCAGGGAGCCCAATGTGGGACTCGATCCCAGGACCCCGGGATCATGACCTGAGCCAAAGGCAGACACTTAACCCACTGAGCCACCCAGGTGCCCCTGAAGCCTCATTTTTATCAATAGATGCAACAATATGGATGAATCTCTAAAATTACATTATGCTAAATGAAAAAAGCCAGATGCCAAAGACTATATACTATACGATTCAATTTGTATATTCAATTTGTATGGAGTGCTAGAAAAGCCAGATCCTGATACCTCATTTATGATTTTAATTTGCATTTCTTTAATGACCAATGATGTTGAGCATATTTTCATATGCTAGGTGCTAGTTGTGTGTGTATCTATATATATAAAAATATAGATCCTTATGAAATATGGATTTAATGAAATGTATGTATATATTTTGTGAAATGTCTTAAGTATTGGTCCATTTAAAAAATTGGGTTGTTCACCTGTTTTTTTTTTTTTTTTTGGATTGTTATAGTTCCATATATAGTCTGACCACAAGTCTCAGTTTATGGCTTGCTCTTTCATTTTCTTAGTAATGCCTTTTAATGAACAAAAGATTTTAACTTTGATAGAGTGCACTCCACCCAAACCTTCACTCTGTCCATATAGTTATGTGATTGGTTTGCTCAGTATTCAATAATGTTATAACGAGAGCATAAATGCTATTTACACTTAAGCTACAAAGTATGTTCTATTCTTTTATTATACAACTTTTTTTTTAGTTTTAAATCAGCTTTATTTCATGTACTTACCACTAATTCACCCTCAGATTTCCTGTGAATTATCCAAATCTGTTCTCGGTGTATTCAAACATTTTAAAAACCGTGGATGAATGCTGAATGTTTTTCAAATGCTTATCTGCATTTCCTAATGCCGCTTCCTAATCTTGAAAAATATTTCTCTTGCAACCTGACAGTTCTAGCAGGTATTTTAGGAACCGGGGGTTGATTTTCCTGTTTTCTGTATCCCAAATCTGCAACATACTTGGTCTATTTATTTGTTTTAGTAAACCACACCCCTCAGTTATTTCTTGAGAAAGATCATATGGGAGGTAAATTCTTGGAGAACTAAAACATCTTAAAATGACTGCAGTCTATCAGACTTAATCATTAGGGTGGCTAGGCAAAGAATTCTGAATTCTGATTTTTGAAGGTATTCACGAGTGTAACCAATGAAAAGTAGTGAAAGCCATTCTGATTCCTGTTTCTTGGTATAGGACCCATTTTCCCCTCCGTCAACCTTTAAAATTTTTCTTGTATTTAGAATTCTACAATTTCATGATGGTGGTATGGGTCTATTTTTGATTGTTCTTAATATTTGGTAGGACTTTTTAATCTGAAAACTCATGTTTCAATTCTGGAAAATACAAATTATTTTGCTGATACATTTTCTGCTCTATTTTCTATGTTATTTTTAAGGAACCCTATTTTGGGGGGGAAAGGCAGTTTTCATTGATTGGTTGGTTTTTGTCTTTACTATTATAGCTTTAATATCAAAGGACCCCTTTTATGCTCTCCTACTGTTATCATCCCCTTTTATAACACTTGGTTCTTATTTTATGTTTGAAATGGTTCACCTTAACCCTCTCAGGATTTTAATAGTTGGGGTTTTTTTTTTTTAAGATTTTTAAAAAATTTCTTCTTCCTGCAGTTTCAATTTCCTCTGAGTTGTTCTCTTGTTGTTGTTGGTCACTGTTGCTAAGGGCTTCGTCATGTATGTAGTGGTCAGAGATTGTCTGTTCAGGTGGAGAAAGCTGGTTGGAGCCTCCGAGCACATGGCCGAACCTGCGAGTTCCACTGTAGGGCAGGAGCGGCTCGGCTCTTTCCCTAAGGAATTAGCCGGTTAGTGCCTGGGTCTTGCTGCGTGGGCCAGTCAGATTGCTAGAGAGTCTGGGAGCCGAGTGGGCAAAGATAGCTGGGCCTCTCAGTGTTCACTTTGTCAGTATTTACTTATGTGTCCCATTGTTGTTTTAAAGATTTGTGTGTTTGTTTGTTTATGGGGCGGGGGGCAGGTGGGCTGAGGCAGAGGGAGAGCGAGAACTTCAAGCAGACTCCCTGCCAAGTTCAGAGCCCAACGAGGGGAGGGGGGCCAGATCTCATGTCTTGAAATCCTGACTCTGAGGTCACGACCTGAGCCTAAGTCAAGAGTCGGAGGCTTAATGGGCTGAGCCACCTGGGTGCCCCTATTTGGCCTACTTAGCATTCTTGTCCCTCCCCTGGTTTGAGTCTAGATACCATATGTTTGCCTTTTCTGAGAATTACCCTTCAAGAGTGAAGGAAAGCTAATCACCTGGCTCCGTGGGGTGGGAGACGATCTTTAGAGCTTTCCCCACTGCCGAGACTCGGAGCCATCCTCACGGTTTGCCGCCTTCCCCTCGTTTGTAGCCGTGGGGGGCTTTCTGCGCTGCAGACTGTGCTCCCTGCTTCCCAGCAGCTTCAGTCAGCGCCCTCAGACCTCCGGCTGGTCCGTTGTCTGCTCTCCTGTTCCAGCTGTAAGATCTCGGGTCTTTAACCGGCCCTTATGGCCAAGCCCTTTCTAGAAAGTAAAGATTTGTGTCTGACCCGCCGTCCTTATGGGGGCCTGCTGCTGTTTCCTTCCCGAACTTTTACTTTTCGGCCCGTTTGCTTTTTAACCTACAGAAACAAAATTTTAATTACCAGGACTTTCCATTGATTCTTTTGATGCACACAGTAGCCTTGCTACCTTTCGAAGAAAGTTCCTTATGCCCAGGCATTAGTCCCCAGGGCCTGTGTCATCCCCCATTGGAACTGCTCCCCGAACCCGTCGTTGCCGTCCTCCTCCTCACTCCCTGCTTTCCGGGGCGAACCTGGGGCGCCCCCCCCCCCGCAGAATGCCCTTCCCCACCAAGGGCCCGTGTCGGGTGGCGTCAGCGGGGACACCCCGGCAGAGCTGCAAGGGGCGCCCGAGAGGGCGCAGGCCCCGCTGTGGGCAGGAGGCCGGGCTCAGCACTGGCGGCTCCCCTGGCTCGCAGGGTTCTGGAAATGGCCCGCGGCCCTGCTGAAGGCTTCCAGGGTGGCCCCCTGACCTCTGCCCCCCCCCAGCAGTTGGGTTCTAGCCGCAGCCAGTCCATTTCTTTATTCAGACCCAAACCTCAGGGGCCGTGGGCCTCCTCGCCTGACCTCTGGCCTCTACTGTGCACGGTTTCCTGTGGCCTTCCTCCAGGACCTGGGGGTGTGGGGCCATCTGCTGCTCACGGTGTACAGAAGCTCCTCTTCTGAGTGGGGGCGACCCCAGTCTTGAGGGGTATCGACTCCATCTCCACCAAGGCTCCAGCCGCGGCCCGCCTGTTCCCCTTCCCCGGCACCTCTGGCTTTGGGTCAGTCCTGAGGGCCGGGCCCACCGCCTCCCCAGCTGGCTCTCCTGTGTTTCCGGAACTTGAATTCTTCCCCTGCTAACCAAGTTGCATCCGCTTTCCGTCTAACGCTCCCTGTGCACGGTTTATGTGCATGGAAGGGTGTTCGTGCAGGGTTTCCTTCTGACGCTTCAGCAGGAAAAGAGGCACAGAACACAGTCAGCAGCGTGCGTTATTTATACACGTACCACTCCACGGACACGTGGGTGCATTTCCATAAAGACGACCTGCGTTCTGTGCGTTTCAGTTAGACCTGCATCAGGCTAAAAGGTTTTTTCTTTTCCTTTCTTTTCTTTTTTTTAATGGGACTGAGATCAGCAAAAGTTTGAAGAAGGTAGCTCGGGTGGCCAATTTCCCAGGAGCCTTTATCCGTCATGCTCTCAGCCCCCTGTCTCTCTCTTCTACTGGCTCCTCTCAGGACGTCTCCCTTCTTTCCTGCAAGAGCAAGAAGACCGCCAGCACCTCGTGGTTTCCCTCCCACGGTAGGGATTGGAGACGCCTTCAGCACCCTGCGCTGCAACCACGTGGCCTTATCAAAAACAACTTCAGGGAACCCGGGAACCGTCCGTTTGCTAAGTTTGCTAAGACTGTTAGATATTTAAAATTAGATGTTTCCAAACTGATGAAAGAGCTGCAGAATGGATTACTACCCCTTTCATTTTCCAAAGGGTGTATTTCAAAATGGAATAGAATTCAGCCGTACCAGATTTTTAGCCTTGTATGTATTCTTCAAGCAATATGCACATACCTGGCGAAGAATCAGTAAAAAGAGGTGCTCACAATAAGAGGAAGCCACCGCCTGCACTTCCCCAGCCTGGTCTCACTCGCCAGAGGCAGTGGCGCTTCACCATTTCTGGTTTGCATGCCCCTGGCAGTTTCCTTCATATTGCTACCTAATATGCTTCTGCTACTAATTTTTATTTATCCGCACGATTTCTCCTGCAGTATAGATGGGTACTTAGCTCAGATGCTTACTCATTTTATTATGTCTTAGTCGGTTTGGGCTGCTATGACGAGAAAGAACACAGACCAGGTGGCTGTTTAGGAAAGAAATTCATTTCTCACAGTCCTAGAGGTTGGAAGTCCAAGATCAGGGTGCCAGCGCGGGGCTTTGGGTGAGAGCCCACTCCCTGCTTTGTAGACTGTTGTCTCCTGACCACATCCTCACACGGCCAGGAGTAGACAAATCTCTAGTCTCTTCATCCCCTTATAAAGGCACTAAACTCATTCACGAACGTTCCACCCTCGGGACCTAATTATCTCCCAAAGGCCCCATTTCCAAATACACTGAGGATTTAAGACTTCAACGTATGACTTTGAGGAAGGGGACACAAATAGCCGACAGCGTATCATGACTTTAATGATTTTGCTCCTTTCTTTTGTAACTACTCTTTTCTGAAAGAATAATCAAATCTGAAATTTACAGAATTGATCTTCTAGATGTCATAGCTCTTATCTACTGTCACCTGTTTTTCTACGTACTAGGCGGGTTCCTTGACTAACTTTCCTCACGAATGTTTCATTTTTATTGTTCCTTTTTTCCTACCCGGTACTCGTTTTGCAGATACAGTTTTCCTCAAATCTCAAGAGTATTAATTAGATCTTCTCGTGAAACATTTTTAAAGTTCTCTTCTGTATTTTGAATGAGCTGGGTTTTCCTGTGACCAGATCACTCTGCTTGTCTATTTTGATCTGTCCCCCTCAGGTTTACGCTTTCCTCAAATATTCAGCGAGTCTCCGTTGTCTGGTGGCAATATGAGTAATTTATTTCCTCTCCTTCCTCTTTCCTCCCCTGACACTGCATTTGTCTTCATATTCCTTCCTAAAATTGAAAGGAATGAGATTTCCTGAGTCTTTGGTACATGGGTAGGATGTGTTGGCCTACACACTCTGCTTTAGAGTATGCGGGTGCCTGGGTTGTGATTGTTTTGTGTTGGTTTTTTTTTTTTCTTTTTTTTTTTTCCTGTTTTTTTTTTTGTTTTGTTTTGTTTTCCCAGTGATTTGAGAGAAGGGGCAACAACATAGCAAAATGTAGAGCTTTGTTCTGGGGCATCAGTTCACACACTGCCTGCGGTGGCTCCATCCAGGTGGCACATTCGGCTTTCCTCAGGTAAGACTATGTGTGTGAGTGGCCCAGGGCTTGAAGGCCTTCCTGTGGGGTGCTCCTGACACAGACCCCCTTCCTTCTCCAGGGTCAGGCCTAGTTTGGCTCCTCCTGTCTTTCATCAAACTTGCCACCTCCATTCCAGCCCTGTCCCCGGTGCTGAGGTCGCAGATTCCTCAGCTCTGCTGTCATTCCCCACGTTTCCATCAGATTTATATCTTTTGTTTATTTGATTAAACGTCTCCTCAGCTCAGAGCCCCCTCCATGCGCTCCGTTGTCTGGAGTTACATCTTTCCTTTCCTGTGCATTTATAATCATTTCAGTGGGGCCTAGCTGTCCACCACCTAGAACCAGTTTAGATATGACATTTTTTCGACTTTTCTTTTTATTAAGTAAAATAAAATCTACACTCATGACCCCAGCAAGATAAATGTCACTCTCCTTTCTTTAACCCGGTCCAACATAGCAGCATGAGTATTCCTACACTTTCCTAAATTAAGCCTTTAAAATATTTTTTATGTAAAATTTGTGCCTTTTTTTTATAAATTTATTTTTTATTGGTGTTCAATTTGCCAACATGTAGAATAACACCCAGTGCTCATCCCGTCAAGTGCCCCCCTCAGTGCCCACCACCCAGTCACCCACCCCCCCGCCCACCTCCCTTTCCACCACCCCTTGTTCGTTTCCCAGAGTTAGGAGTCTTTCATGTTCTGTCTCCCTTTCTGAAATTTGTGCCTTAACCAGTTTATGCTCCTCATAAAACTTTTTAAAACATAAGATAAATTTTCTAGAGCTCATTATGGAGAAAAATAGTTTGGTTTATTTCTATTCATCATCTAGCTTGTAGGTCAAAAATGATAATAAACGAAAAATTTGTCTTAGTGATAAATTAGTCGAGTTTTGAGTTTTTAAAAATTTTGACTATTTCATAAGTTTAAGTGTTCTTTTATCATCTCATGTTCTATACCTATAATGAACATAAAATAAATTTCTTTTAGAAACAAATACTTCTGTACAAATAATTTCTGAAAACTCAAATAAGATAGTTACATTTTGTGGAACGTGGGTGGCTCAGTCAGTTAAATGTCTGACTCTTGGCTTCAGCTCAGGTCATGATCTCAGGGTCGTGGGATCCACACACACCCCCCCGCCCCCACATCGGGCTCCTCACTCAGTACAGAATCAGTTTGGGATTCCCTCTCCCTCTGCCCCTCCTCCTGCTCTTTCTCTAAAATAAATAAATCTTTTTTTAAAAAAAAGATACTTAAAGTTTTTCTGTTGATAAGCAAGAGAATAGTGTGTTTCTATAAATTAGCTACTGCTTCATTCTACATGAAAAGTTAACTTTTGTTTTACTGCAGTTACTGGGCAACAGGGCAAAATGTTTCTGTGTGCTGGAAGTAGGGTTACCAGGTAAAATACAGGATACCCACTCAACCTTGAATTTAAACACAGACTTTTTTTTTTTTGTATGTATGTATGACCCATTTGTTTTATTGCTGTTGCAAAATCTGGTAAGCCTATTGGAGGGATGGAGGGAAAGGAAGTAGATGGATATGTCCCATCAAAATGCTTTAACTGAATTATTTGAGTTTATGCGTTTGACTTTCATTAAAGAATGATGTACGGCATATTTGCATTTCCTTCAAAACTGTTATTTCAAGTTTTATGTTTCTTTTCTATGTAAAGATATATGTGACAGCTTTCTCTTAGAATTTGGAGCTAAAAAAAAAATGTTCTTTCCCAAAGAATTGTCATAATTCCTTTTGCCCATTGTGGGTATTTTTGTTCCCTTTGACTGACAAGAAATTCAAAACTAATTTCATATGAAATGTAGTACACAGATTATCTTATATTCACAGCAAAATTTCTCCAGTTCTAATTTTATAATAAATCTTTGATTTTCTTTCATATGTTAGTGTTAAAAGATTATTACGTTTTTACTTTGTTATCCTAAATATTTTCAATATTTATTTAATTTAAAATTCAAAAAATAAAAGTAAAGTGAATGTTTGAAAATATCCATACCTTATTTATAACAGTTAGTTGGCTTTAATGATAATCCAACAATATAGATTTTCCAGGTATCCCAGTGATGGAAGTCTACTTTCAATAATTTTAACACCGTGACAGTATTAAAACTGATATTGTCTAATACATCTTAAGAATCAAATCTTTTGCCAATGTAAAATTATCTTCTCTATAAGGGAAAAGTGTGGTCAAAAGGACGTAGTAAGGAAAGAATATTGTCAAAAATTTTCATGAAAATAATTACATCCTTGTGAATTAGTTATTTCTAGATGTTACAGATATCTTGTTTTTATTTCAGAAAATATGAAGAATAATAAGTGTAACAAGAAAAAAACTCTGTAATACCTTGAAACCTCAGATAACCTTACTTGCTCATGGCATCTTTCAGAAATTACAATAATGAAAATGCATAATTGTATAGAAGAGGAGAAAATAGAACTACTAGGCTTGGAAGTATTAAACTACCTCTTATGTCAAGAAAAATTAGAATGTTTATTTATGATGTTTGTACCACTACTATTACAATTTAATTTAAAAATAGTAAAGGCAAGTAAGTTTTTGAAAATTAAGAAATGTATTTTGTTAAAAAAAAAAAGAGAAATGTATTTTGTTGACTTGGATAGTGATGCTACCACATAATCTCAATAAATAACTACAAGTTTAGAAACTTGCCATTGTCATGAACAGGTTCTGTGTCAATTAGTATAGGTTCTTATCCATTTTGTTAGGATATCTGAAGAAATAGAAGGCACAATTTAAGCAAGCCTGAGTCTGGCAGTGCCACAGTATCTTCTTGTCTTTTAAATAAATGCATTTGAAACTAAAAACTTACCCCTAAGTGCCATTTGAGCTGATTACCAACCTCTTGATATTTAAGTATTCTGATAGCATTCAGTTCTAAAGATTTTATAATTTCTCATATTATTACCTTCTTAGCTCATGGGTTATTTGGGAGTGTGTTCTCTCTCTCTCTTTTTTTTTTTTCAAATATATTGGGTTTTGCCATCTTTTACTATTGATTTCTCAATTATACTATTGTTAGTGAATTTTATCTGTGCGATAAGATTTGAGAATTGTTATGAATTCTTAGGTTTCATATGAATCTGAAAAGAATGTATAGTCTCTGTACACTCCCTTTAAAATATGTTGCATTCATTTGTTTTTTTAATAAGTGTTTTATGCCTTTAAAATGTTTTCTTAAAATATTCCTATTTAGTGGGTAAAGGATTCTCTTATATCAGGCTTTTTAATTTACTTCAAGTTTTTAAGATTCTTACTAATTTATGTGTGCTTGCTTGATCTGTTAGTTTCTTATAGGAGTCTATTACCCATTGTCCATTCTTCTTGTTATTCTATTGAATTTTACTTTATTTATTTTGTGAAATAAGAGATTTTTTCTTCTGATTCCTCAATAAAATATGAAAATTGTACTTTATACTGCTGTATTATCTATCCTTGAGGGCCAAAACTTTACATACTTACCTTCGTCTGAACTGCATTACATACCAACATACAAGAAGAATATGAAAGCTGAACTGTTCAAATGTGTCCATCTCATTCTGCCCTTTTAGAAGAGAAGCAGCAATATGTCAAGTATATTTCAGTAAAGCGGCTGGTGGGGGACATCACGTTACATGTATGTTACAAAAATTTTTAATTTGACTTAAATTTTGGACCAAAGTACCCTGAGAGTAGCAGATGGTAGAAGGAAAGAGAGAGAGAGGGAGAGAGAGAGAGAGAGAGGGAGAGAGAGAGAGAGAGGGAGAGAGAGAGAGAAGTTGAAGAGCAACCTTAAAGATTCAACCCAATAGCTGCGTCCTTAATGAAATAATTCCAGGACAGAGAGTTGGATGGTCAGCACAAAGCATTTCCAGAAAACGTTCATAGTGCAGCCAGGACAGATGCCCCCAGTTTCCATCCTGCTACCCAAATGCTGATGTTTGTTTCACTCACCACCCATGGTGTCTGGTCTGAGGTGTATGAGGAAGGGGCAATTTGGAGAACCCCTGACACCCATCTGGGATATAGCACAGCAAAAATGCTTATTGCTTGGTTTGGGCGTTTGTTTTATAGCATTCATGGTGATTTTGTTGTTTAAAATCACTTTCCTGGGAATCCCTAGGTGGCTCAGCGGTTTAGTGCCTGCCTTTGATGCAGGGCCTGATCCTGGAGTCCCGGGATCGAGTCCCACGTCGGGCTCCCTGCATGGAGCCTGCTTCTCCCTCTGCCTGTGTCTCTGCCTCTCTCTCTCTCTGTCTCTGTCTCTCTGTCTCTCTTGAATAAATAAATAATAAAAATCTTTTAAAAAAATCACTTTCCTTTGAGCATATACACAAAGGCATGTGATGTATTTATGCCCCTGGCTCAATATTGCAGATGAGTTTGGAGAAATCCTATTCAGACAAGATTCTAATGAAAAAAAATTTTTCCGTTGAACACTGTGTTTGAAGTAAATAGAAGCTCTGCAAACTTTGGAGACGATAGGTGAAATTCTCTCAGGTATTGAGATAAGCTACCAACAACTGCACCATCAAAGTATAAATAGATGGTGATATTACTGATGTTAGTAGTAATAGCAAATGTGACAACACTCTTGGTTCGAAGAGCAAATTAACCTTGTATATTTTTATATGGACCTTCCACTCTGTGGCAGGTTCACCGCCCATTGTGAACAAAGAATGGGAGCTAAATCTGGGCAGGCATTTTTCCCATCAAAACCATCATCTGACTTTTTCCCCCCTTTCTTTACCTTCCCCCCCCATTACATTTTTAGATGCTATGTTATTAATAGCCAGTCACAGGCAATGAATCCCCATTGACAGTATACGTCAATATACTGTCAATATACAAACTTCCAATGAGGAAGTTTATGTAAGGGGTTTTTGTTTTGCTGATACTAGTTTTCTTTCTAAAAGTCCAGGTAAGGGGCGCCCGGGTGGCTCAGCAGTTTAGCTGCCGCCTTCAGCCCAGGGCGTGATCCTGGAGACCAGGGATTGAGTCCCACGTCGGGCTCCCTGCATGGAGCCTGCTTCTCCCTCTGCCTGTGTCTCTGCCTCTCTCTGTGTGTGTCTCTCATGAATAAATAAATCTTTAAAAAAAAAAGTCCAGGTAAAATGAGGATTTCTTGGGAGAATTTAGTTTACTGAAATTGATGTGAATAGAGACAAAGTATAAATCAATGAATTTTCATAGAAAATAGAAAAAGTTATGGAGACATAGGGACAAAGAGACAGCAGGTACAGATGATTGCACAAGGGAACCTAACTGAACTTTGAGAAATCGGAGAGTCCCAATGTTTTAAATTGTTTCAGGAGTGCAAGAATCTGGGTAGGATTCTTAGTAATAGGCTTAAGGAGAAAAATCGTATGATTACAGATGCTGAAAGGGCCTTTGAAAAATGCAACACCTATTTTTAACTATTTTCTATAAGAATATTAAAGGGGCGCCTGGGTGGCTCAGCAGTTGAGTGTCTGCCTTTGGCCCAGGGAGTGATACCAGGGTCCCGGATTGAGTCCAACATCAGGCCTTGCAGGGATCGAATCCCACATCGGGTTCTTTGCAGGGAGCCTGCTTCTCCCTCGGCCTGTGTCTCTGCCTCTCTGTGTGTCTCTCATGAGTGAATAAATAAAATTCTTTAAAAAATATTAAAGTTGCAATGAATGGATACTTTCTCAACACAAAATTATGGGCCAGATGAATTTCACATATGAGAAATATACTAAAAATTATTTGTTTATATGAAATTAGATTCTCATTGGTTGTCATATTTTAACTTGCTAAATATGACAATGATAGACACAGTGCATGTACCTCAATCCTAAAAATGTCTTTTTATTTAATGGGGAAACGCAAGGCATTTCTACTAGCCTTTCTAAGCTACTGTTAGCATTTCTACTAATAGGGCAAATGACCCCCACTATCTCTAGGACTGTTAGGTTGTTCTGGCAATGTTAGCCAAAACAACTGTAGGCACAAGAGTTGGAAAATAGAAAGTAAAGTTCTATTTAAAGATAGCATGATACTCTAAGTGGAAAAAACCATGGGACTTAATCACAAACCTAAATAATTCAGCAAGATATCAGAATATAAATTTAACATCCAAAAATGAATAAGTTCTTAAAAGTGATCATAAACCCTTAGAATATGTGATGAATGAGAAAACCTCTTTTATAATAGCATTGAAAAACATATTTAGGAATAAACCTAAGGAGAAATGTACAAAAGCAGGAGACTTTTAGAAGTGATAGTCCATCTTTTGATTGTGGAAGTGGTTTCAGAAGTGTGTACACTTGCCAAAACTCATCAAATTGTAAACTTTAAATGAATGATGTTTACTGTATGTAAATCTCAGTGATCTAGAGATATAAACGTGCAAAACCTATACAAAGAAAGCTATAAAACACTCCTAAAGTTCCAAGAGACTCAAGCCAATTTCTTTCTTCTTGGATAGGACATCTCATCAAAATGTTCTTTTTAAGTTGACTTACAATTTTTGTGATCCTGATAAATATGCCAACAATCTGAAACTTGGCATATTGATGTTAAAGTTCATATGGGGAAAAAAAAACATTCAGAAATATCTAGAAAAGCTCTGAAGGAAGAGCCAGAAGGGAATCAAGGGGAACCAGATGCTAAAATATTTTTCAAAGCCTCTATTATTAAAACAGTGTGGTACTTTGTACTAGCACTTGAGTAGACAAATCAATGAAATAGAATAGAAAGTCCAGAAATAGGCTCAACCACATATGGTTATTTAGTAAATGATAAAAGCAGTATCTTAAATCAGTGGGCAAATGACATTGGGACAACTGGATGGGCATTTGGAGAAATATAAGATTCACATGCTCTATGAAAATAAACTTCAAGTGAATCAGAAATAATAAATTTACACAAGGATTAAAAGAAAATATGGGTGAATTTCTCTACAACCTGGGAGTCAGAAAAGGTTGTCTAACTATGACTCAAAATCTGGATGCAATAAAAAAGAAAACCTTGCCCTTATATATAAAAATGTATCCAGCCTCACAAGTAAAAACTAAAACTGCAATTAGATATCAAAAACTGCCCCACCATCAGGTTGACAACAATTCAAAAGCTAGCCAGTGGATTCCGTTTGGGTGAAGTCATGTAGAAACAGACACTCTCATATACTGTCAATGGGGATACAAAATAGAGCTCCTACGGAGGGGATTGGGTGGTATGTGAGACAACTACATAGCATTTAAAACCACAGTGAGGGGGGCCTAGGTGGCTCTGCGGGTTGAGCAACAGACTCTTTTTTTTTTTTTAAATTTCTTTGTATTGGAGTTCAATTTACCAAAATATAGCATAACACCCAGACTCTTGATTTCAGCTTAGGTCCTGATCTCAGGGTCTTAAGATCCAGCTCTGCCTGGGGCTCTGCACTCAGCGGGGAGTCTGCCTGAGACTGCCTCTCTCTCTCTGTCTCTCCCCCTTCCCCGGCTCGCATGGTCTCTCAAATAGATAAATCTTTAAAAATAAAAATAAAACTACAGTGAGGCATCATCGATTGACCTCTGGAAAGATCTAGACTGCCCTGGTACCAAGCAACGGCGAAAATGTAGCAGAACTGGAGCTCTCCTACGTTACTGGTGGGAGCATAAAAACAGCCACTTTGGAAAACAGCTCAGCACCTTCTCAGAGTCCAACACAGGCCTACCACGTACATCGCAGCCATTCAAATGCAGTCAAGATTCACTATCAAAGATCGGTGAAAGCTACATGGTAAACTGGAAGGGGGCAGAGAAGCCTGCGATGATCCAACCCCACCTCTATGCTCTACTTTCACGTTGGGTGTGTGGGTTAAAAGTACAGGCTCCGGGACGGACACACCTGGATTCGAACCCTGCTTGTCAATCCAAGGCTCAAGCAAAATGAGGATCTTCATTCAGTCCCTTGCCTGGGGGGCTGTGACGGTTGTCAAGCCCCTGGAGTACGTGAGCACAATAAGGTCACCGATTCTTACTAAGAGCATTTCCGAAAGGAGAATGCGTGTTATGCCGACACTTAATAGATCCGTATTTATCACCCCCCCCCATAGGAAGGCTCCCCGCGGAGCGCGGGGACCTGGCACCCCTGGACACCCAGGGCTCTAGGGAAGGCCTGGGGCACTAACTGGGCGCTGTTGGGGGGGCGGGTCTGTAAAGCTCCATCCCTTGGGAGCCCGGGGTCGGGCGACAGGCGCTCCTCGGGGGGCAAAGCCTGGGGTCCTGAGGGCCCGCCCCCTGCCAGGGGGCCCGCGCCTGCCGCCGTTTGCGGGGCCGGGGGGCGGGGCGGGAGGGGCGGCCCCGCGGCGGTTGGGCCCCCGCTGCAGGTGCACCCGCGCGCCTCCCGCCGCCGCTCCCCGCCGGGGCCGCACGCGCATGCGCGGTTGGCAGTCGCTGCTGGGCGGCCGCCGGCGGGATTGGCCTGGGGCGAGCGGGACCGGGTGGCAGCGCCTCGGACATCGGAGCTGCCGCTGCCCAACACGGGCCCGCGACACAGGTGCGTGGGGCCGGGGCCGCCTCCCCGCCGCCCCCGGCGCTCGAGCCGGGGTGCCGAGTCGGGAGTCCGGGCGGGGGCTCCGGGCCGCTCCCCTGGCCTCGGCGACCGCGGGGCCCGGCAGGGGGAGTCAGGCTCCGGGATGGAGGCGCCCGGGCGCGGTGCTCGGCGGCGCTCCGAGGGGGGTGGGGGGTGGGGGGAAGCCCGCGCCGGGCGGCCGAGCTGGTGCCGCGCTGGGTCCCGCGTCCACCTGGCCCGTCCACCTGCCGCGTCCACTTGCCGCGTGCACCTGCCCCGTCCACATGCAGCGTCCACCTGCCCCGTCCACCTGCCCCGTCCACCTGCCGCGTCCACTTGCCGCGTGCACCTGCCGCGCGCACCTGCCCCGTCCACCTGCCGCGTGCACCTGCCGCGTCCACTTGCCGCGTGCACCTGCCGCGTCCACCTGTGGCGCCGCGCCGACCGCGCCCTCCGCAGGCGGCCTGGCCCGGGGAGGGCGGGGGCGCCGGGGCCGTTACCCCAGCGGTTACCATTTCAGCCCCGTTCCAAGCTCGAGCCCCGGGGCGCGCTCCCGAGGGGTGTAGGGCCGGCCGGGGCGTGCGAGGGCGCCGCTCCCTCCACGCGCCACTTTGCACAAAAACGTGAGCAAGCCCCCAAAAGGCTCCGGGCACGCAGTCCGCGCCTCCGTAAGGGCGGAGAGCCCCCAGGGGGAGGGGGAGGGAGCGGGAGCGGGAGCGGGAGCGGGAGCGCTGGGTGGAGTCCAGCCGCGCCCTAATTACTCGACTCCTTATCGCCTAAAGCCTGTTTACCGTCAATGGGACACTTTAGCCGATTTTATTTATAGCCTCGCCCAAGCAACCAGGAGGCATTTGCTTGAGATTTTGAGATTTTATTTTATTTTATTTTATTTTATTTTATTTATTTATTTGTTTGTTTATTTATTTATTTATCTATTTATTTATTTATTTTACTTGCTTGAGATTTTAAAAGCGAGTGGCAACAAAGTTCAGAAGGGGGAGAGAGAAAAGTGGCCCTAGGAAAATGTCTCAGATTAGAAAAAAAAAAATTGTTTTGAAACTTTTTGATGCATGAAAGCCATCAAAACCCTGATCTGGCCCTAAGATTTTGCTTGCTTTAAATTTTTTTACATTACTCTAGGCCATTTAGTCACTGCAGGTAGCCTTCCTTTGGTAACTGCAAAGTGGCCTCTTTTCACTGTACAGTTTCGCCCTCACATCTAGTTGGTTTGATCTTCCATTTATTTGGACCAGTCCCCAAAGCCTTAGAACAAGATCATCTAGATTATGTAGTTGATAAAGTTAATTACTGTGCATGAGTGACCTAAGTATGTTGATGGATCTCCAGAAATTGAGCAGCGTTCTAAGTTAGCCTTACTGCTTTCCAGCGCAGTGCCTAGTAAGTTTTAGTGCTCTTAATTCGAAAACTAGAATTGTCCATTTTCATGGAGCTTTAAATCCCCTATTTTAACCCTTTCACTTGGCAAACGAAGAACAAAACAGGCCCGAGGCAGTTTTAACCTCCTGCCTTTTTAATATTAGAGCTAGGAGCCTGGTGTGATGGTGCCAAGGTCAGTGTACTTTCTGTTGTATCATTCTGTAGTTGAGTTCCTCCTGAGGCTGCAGGACAACGAAAACTCTAAAAATTATGATTTTCAAAGACATCTTTTGAAGCATGCCAGTGTTGGATGAGTCCTCCTCAGTCAGCCTCTGAGACTGAACCGTAGAAAGGCATCACAGTTAGAAGACATAGAGTACAGAAAAGTATTCACGTATTAACGTAGGTGAGTGTGGCAGAGGGTGAAAGGAATGAGTCTTACAAGGACGGAATTTATCCTGAGAACTACACAGAAGTACTGCATGTTTCTGTGAATGGTAAAATAAGACTCCTCCTAGGGGCGCTTGGGTGGCTCAGCCAGTGAAGCGTGTGCCTTTAGCTCAGGTTGTGATCTCACGGTCCTCCATCCCACGATGGAGCCCAACAGAGCCTGCTTCTCCCTCATCCTCTGCCCTCCCACCTGCTCCTGCTCTCTCTCTCTCTCTCTCTTACTTTCAAATAAATGAATAAAATCTTCAAAAAAAAATAAGAAAACATGCTAGGGAGAAGGTGGAAGATAGATTTAGAGATTGGCAAGACTGAAAGTCAAGAGGCAAAGCGAGAGTTTGCTAATCCACTCCAGAAAGGATAGGTTCCTAAGGCTGTGGCTTGGGGATAGAACAAGACATTTAAGAGATACCCAAATGCGTTGGGCTACCAGTGACGCAGGGGATCAGTGAGAAAGAATCATCTTAAGATAATGGCAAAGTAACTTAACTGATTTGGGTGACTGGAGGTAGTTAATGGAATAAGAGCATTCAGAAGACAGAGAAGCAGGGTTGGGCGGAAAGACTGTGTTCAGATTAGCAGAATTTTGGGACAACCTTGAAGATATATAGTGATTTGAGTGAAATCAGTGAAAGGAGTGACTTTTGAGCTGCAGATAAGATCTGGGAGTCCCTGGCTAGCTTTTATAGGTAGAAGCCAAGAGTATGTGTAGTGTAAGAAAAGGGCCTGGGGCCAGAACCCGAAGGAATAGCAGCATTTAAAGAATATTGGAGAGAAAGTGCCTGTGAACAAGGCAGAGAAAAGGAAGAGAATCAAGAATCAGGAATGACAAGAAAACCAGAGGAGGAGATGGTTCCAGGAAGCAGGCTGTTCCGGAGGGGCAGTAGGCAATAGAGGTGAAAAATGTTATTGCGCTCACCAACCAAGACTTGGTGTGTAGCAACAGTTTCAAAGAAGCTGTAATCAAGGAACTCGGGAAAGATAAAAGTATTCATTGCCATTGCTGCCATAACTAATTACCACAAACGCAGCATCTTAAAGCAATATGAATTTTCCCACAGAATTTTCCTGTAGGTAGAAGTCTGAGCCAGGTTTCACTGAGCTAGCATCAAGGTATTGGTCAGCGAGCTACCTATCATTCCTTCCTAGAAGCTCTGGGGGAAAGTCTGGCTCATTGAGTTGGTGGCAGATTTCAGTTTCTTGCAGTTGTAGAACTGAGGTTCCTGTTTCCTTGCTGACTGTTGTCAGCTGAGGGTTGTTTTCAGCCTCTGGAGCCACTCACCTTCCTTGGCCCATGGCTCCCTTCCTCCATCTTCAAAGTCCCTCTGGCGGTGGAGTCCCTCTCACTCTTCAGATCTCTTCTACCCATCTCTCCCCGACTTCCTCTTCTACTTTTAAGGGCCCATGTAACTGGGCCCATCTGGATAATCCAGGAGACTCCCCCTATTTTAGGGTCAGCTAATTACCAACCTAAATTCCATCTTGAAAGCCCTTTATGCTATGTGAGGTAACATTCACAAGACCCAAGGATTAAGGTGTGAACATCTTGGGGGGGGGTCATTATTCTATCTACTGTAGGAAATTAGAAGTATTAACAGTTAATGAAAACATTTTAGCTTTTGTATTAACAGTTAATGAAAACATTTTAGCTTTTGTTAAGGAGAGGAGATAGCTAGAAACATTTATATTGTCTAGTATGTGATAATTTTTGTTCCAACAGTAAGCCATTTATCTTAAATATCCTGAAATTTATGTAAGCAATTTATAAAATTTTATTTTATTATTATTTATTTATTTATTCATGAGAGACAAAGAGAGAGAGAGAGAGAGAGAGAGAGAGAGAGAGAGAGGCAGAGACACAGACAGAGGAGAAGCAGGCTCCATGCAGGGAACCTGACCTGGGACTCGATCCCGGGGCCTCCAGGATCAGGCCCTGGGCTGAAGGCAGGTGCTAAACTGCTGAGCCACCTGGGCTGCCCGCAATCTATAAAATTTTAAAGGATCATAGTAATGTAAGGAATTAGCATGAAGTTGTTGGCTTTTATATTTTTATATAGCCTTGAACTGCTTTAAAGTCTTTGCTAGAAAGATTTTAAAAGCCATTTTTTAAAAAGATTTTATTTATTCATGAGAGACACAGAGAGAGAGGCAGAGACACAGGCAGAGGGAGAAGCAGGCTCCATGCAAGGAGCCCGATGTGGGACTCCATCCTGGAAATCCAGGATCAAGTCCTGAGCCAAACACAGAGGCTCAACCACTGAGCCACCCAGGCGCCCCAATTTTAAAAGCCATTTAAACTAAATATATGTGCATCAATCATAGTTTGGATACATATAAAAATATGGCTTTTCAAATATAAAAGCTACAGAAAATGGACTGTATGTCTGGAGGATGGAATATAAAATATTTAATCTTATATTTTATAGACCTAGAACTTTAATCCTTTTTGGCAAGGATTAAATTATTAAGCAGTCTAACCCTAGAGCCCAATAAAGGGAATGTATCATGGGAAACTAGACCCAACTTTGAGTCTTGTCCCTTCTACTTAGTAGTATTCTGTGTTCTTGAGTAAGAAAACACTTTCTTAGTATAAGGGAGTGAAGCATAATACCTCCACCACAGAGGGCTGCAGAGATTGGAATTAATGCGTTTGAAAAATCCTGTGTACTCACAACAGCACGTGCTCTCTCCTACCACTCTTCCCCCTTCAGTTCCTTCCTCACATGCTGCTTCCTTTGTCCTTGGCTTAGGGAAATCACTCCTTTATCTTTAATAAAATTAAAATATTTTCAGATGATTTTATTTACTTATTTATTTATTTATTTATTTATTTATTTATTTATTTAGTGCATGCGAGCAGGGGAGGGGAAAAGGGAGAGGGAGATTCTTTTTTTAAGTTTCTTTTATTTATTTATTTTTTGTATTTTTTTATTGGAGTTCAGTTTGCCAACATATAGCATAACACCCAGTGCTCATGACATCAAGTGCCCCCCTCAGGGCCCGTCACCCAGTCACCCCCACCCCCTGCCCTCCTCCCCTTCCACCACCCCTAGTTGGTTTCCCAGAGTCAGGAGTCTCTCATGGTCTGTCTCCCTCTCTGATATTTCCCACTCATTTTCTCTCGTTTCCCCTTTATTTCCTTTCACTATTTTTTATATTCC